ATTTAAAAAATTATTTTTCTAGGACAGTAAAAACAAGCCTATCCAAATTGGTATTTCTTCTGTTGGGATAAGCATTTTTAATGACCAAATGCGTGTACATCGTTTTTCTTGGGCTGGAATAATTAAAATTGAATATCGTAAAAATAAATTTGGAATTAGATTGAAACCTGGAGAGGTTTTTTTTAATTAAAAGAATTTTATAAAATTTTTAAAAATTAGTTGGATCAATCACAGAAGAAGTCAACAACTGTCTCTTATGCTCTAGTTGACTATAAACATGCTAAATTGGTTTGGAGATGTGGAGTTGAACACCATGTTTTCTTTAGGTATTTTTAAATTGATTTTTTGGTTATCCATTCCCCTTTAAGATTTTTTAAATCTGTCTCGCTAAAAAATTTTTAGAAAATTTTTATGATTGTTTAATTTAGTTTTCCCTTTTGAATTTTCTATTAATAATTAGAAGATTTTTCAAATTATTTTAATTTTTTCTAGACTTGTTCAACCAGAAACTAAACACAAAAATTCATTTCTGAGTTTTGGTTCTGCCCGTTTTCGTTATACCGGTCGAACAAATATTCAATCACAAATGGTCTCACAATTATTTGAAACAAATGCTCCAACTTCTGCTTCCCTTTCTAAATCAAAATCTGCAGAAATGTGTAAGAAAATGAACTTTAAGAATTAAAAAAAAATAATAATTTATAAATTCAAGTGCCACAAAACCATCAAAAAGAGCCCCAAACACCTTTAAATTATATGGATGAGGTTTGTTTTTTTACTTTAAAATTTAGTAATTTTTATAGTTAACTCCACAAAAGCAACTTGCTCATGTGCAGCCATTAGCGACTAGTACTGCTCGGAGCGATAAGAAGGTAAGGAATTTTTATATTTTGTTTTTGATTTTTTAATTGGGGAATGAATTTTTGTAAAAGAGATTTTAAATACGGGGGGCTTTTATTATTTTTTATTTCAACCAGATACATGGCTATTTGGTATTTTTCTTTTATTTTTTTAATTGAGATCACGTGTTTTCATTTTATTTTCTAACCTATTCCAATCTAGTTTCCTCCTAAATTTTTTCAATTGTTAACTTACAAATTGCTTTTATTTTTTCTTCCAATTTTCATCTTTCGCGCACTTTTCTAACTCTTTCAAAAATTATTTTCTTTTTCTATTTTACATGCATTTTGCTTGTTTTGGGTTGTTTTCTTTTCTTTTTTCCATAGTAGCAGCACTTATTTTGCCCCTGGTAACGCGTGGGAGTATTTTATATATTCTTGTATTGATTGCCACACTTTTCTTCTAGAAAATTTTTCTGCCAGTCCTTTTATGAGGTTTTGGCCATAAAAATTTTGGACATTTGAATTCTTCTCTTTTTCTGTTTATTTGTGCTTTTTAATGGGCTTTTTATAATATTGTTTCCAATTACTGTGGTGATTATTTTTTTTCTTATTTCTATTCGGAATGAGAGAAAAATTTCACAGATTTTTATAATTTTCTTACTTAACCCATTACATTTTAAATATTATTTTTATAGACATTTTTGAGATTCTCTTATAATGTCAATAAACGATTTACCTTCAACCTCTTCAAACATTCTTCCCTCTCAACAACCTGAAAATATTAATTTACCTCTACTTTTTCGACATTTTGATTTACAATATTCTCCAATTGACAACCATGTTACCCTCTACAATTCTGGTCTATACTTTGAGATTGATATTTCTCGCCGTTTAAATAGTTTTGGAGTATCTATAGCTAAAGGAAGTCGTCAACGTTTTCAAAATAAAAACAATTTATTTACTCGAATTTGGCCATATAATGAACAAAAGCATTCGGAGAATGAAATCATTTCTAAATTTATTCATTTAACTCCACATAAACATTCTTCATTACTTCATCATATTAATTGTCAGGAAGATTTGCCATATTTCCCAATTATTTATTTTGTTGCTGTTCGGCATTCTGGTTTTTCTAAAAGTCCAATTAAAGAAAAGAAAGTTTACAAAAAATTAACTAAAGAATGTTTTGATGTTGATGACAAAAAGAAAAATAATAATTTATTCTTTTCTTCTTCTACTTATTCAACACTTCCAAGAGGAATATGTTTTGATCCATTAAGGCTTGAAAAAGTTAAAGAACTTCCTACAATCGCACTTTATTCTCTTTGCAGTTATCGTGCTAGGAAATGGAGGGATTGTGAAAAAACTAAAAGAAGAAGATTTTCCTTCCTTTCAACAATTTTCCCCCGTTTGAGAATCTCCTCGGCTATTTCTACCTCCAAATCTTTACCGGTTATTCCTTCTGAACTTCACCAGCACCAAAAATCTCTTCAGCAAACACCAATAAATATATTATTTCGTCAAATTGAATTTCAACATTGTCCAATTGAAAATAAAATAATTCCTCCACAAATAAATAAAAGTGAAGATAAAAAACAAGAAGAAAATAAACAACAAAAATTTGAAGCTTTTATTGTTTTAAAAACTCGTAAATCACCAGAAACTAAACTTAAAACTAAAAAGGTTCTTGGATATTTAAAATTATATTTTACATTTTTTCTATCTTTACTCTTTATTTTTTATTATTTTTATTTTATTTCTAACATTTTTTAAATTGTGTTTTCTTTTTTTTCCTTTTTTAATTGAAAGTTGTTTGATTTAATTACTATGAAATAAATTATACTTTTTTGAGTGAGGGATCGTTAACAATTATAAATACCATATTTACTCGATTGATTCCCCATGCCACTGATGGGTTGATAAAATAATTCCCCGGGCGAATTTATCGAGTAATTTATTGTTTAATTTTTCTTTAAATTTTAAATAAAAATCTTTTATTTATTTTTAAGTATGAAGAACCTAAAAAAGACAAAAAAGATAAGAAAAAGAAGAAAAATAAAGAGAAGAAGCAGACTGCTGGAATTTCTTCTGCTTCAACTTCGTCTTCTTCCTCTTCAAGTTCAGATGCTGAAACAGAGGAAATACACATTGTTTCTGGTGAAGGTCAAAATTTACAGACATCGAAACAAAAGGTGGAGGAATTGAAAATAAATTTTTAAATTAATGCCTCTATAGGTTACCCCTCCTCCACCTCCTGCACAACAACAAACAACTTTGGAAACTTGCCATGAAGAAATTGTTGGCCCAGAACAAGTCACGACAGAAATTGATGCTGACGGAAATATTATAAAGTATTTCTGCTTAAAAAATAAAATTTAAAAAAAAAATAATTTTTAGGCGTGTTGTTCGAACCGAACAGATTCGCCATACTGTGCAGTCTCACTCTGTCCAATCTGTTCCTGTCGAGGAGAATGGAAAATTTGAAAATGTTGGTTTATTTTAATTTTATAAAATTGTGTAAGACACTTTTTGGAATTTATGGATTAATAAATTTAAATATTTATTTTTAAAACGGACTTTGGAATATTTAAATTCTCTTGGTTTGGTACCAGAGATGGGTCGCAATGCCGATTTCTGACATTTTTTCCTCCCGATTTCCGAAGAAAATTTAATTTCCGAGTTCTGACTATGAGCCAGTTACGATTTCCGGCACTTCAGATTTCCGACAACTCTGACAGTTCTGACCCACCTTTGTTTGGTACCTACATATAAGCCTGTATCTTTTTTTGAAATATTACAAAGTGAAACATCCCTAAAATAAGTTGCAATTTTTTTAAAGTCTACAACAACTGCAGTCAATAATTCTCTTCCATTTTCTAATGGTCATCATTTAGTTGGTTCCAATGAAGAAACTAAAGGGGAATTGGTTTCTTCAAAAGTTGTGACTACAGGAAATAGAACTGTGGAGACTTTAACAGTTAATTATTGACAATTATTATTTTTTAAATAATTATTTTTTTAGTACAAAACAGAAAAAGATGGAATTACGGAGACAAGAGTTGAACATCGAATAACTATTCATAGCAATGAAGAAATTGATCATGATTCGGTAATTTTTGAATAAAAATAATAATAATTTTTTTATTAAAAAAGGAATTGAGTAAAGCTATATTGGAAGCGACAAGTATGAATCCTGAATTAAAAGTTGAAAAGGTGGAAGTTTCAAAGAAATAAAAATAAGGGAAATTAAAAGGGGAAAATACTGCCAAATTAAAAAAAATGAGAGTAACAAAAAGAATTTAAAAATTAATTATTTCTTTTATTTTAAATTTCTGTCTCTTTTTGAATTAAATTAATTTAAAAAAAAATATATTAATTCTTCCATCTTTTCGAGAAAAAGTTAAATTTTTTGGTTTTGCCACTTTTATATTTTTATACTCAAATTGAATGAAAAAAATTTTCGAGACGGGAATTAATTAATTTTAGAATTTTTTAAATTAAAATTTATCAAAAAATTTTTTTGAATTTTTTCAGAAAATTTTTAAGAGTGTGGCAGAATTAAAAAATTTTTTCAGTCTTAAACAACTCCCTCCCTCCCTACATTTGCTTATATAAATATTTATTTTATTTTTTTGGCTTAAAATCAGCAAAAGTTCTTTTTTTTCTTTTATGACATCGCGCCATTTATCATTATTTATTTTTAAAAGTGCTTGTCTAAATATTTATTTGGTGTGTTTTAAAGTTTTTTAAAAATAATTTCCTTTTGAATTTAAAAAACTTTTAATCACGCAATTTAAAAAAAGCTTTATTTTTTCTCTCTCCCACAAAATTTAATGTAAAATATTTCAATTAATTTGTGCTTAAACTGACTTGATAATGTATTTACACAATGCTTGTAAACAAATATATTTATCTATATTTTTTCTTTTTCCAATTTTGCATAATTTTAAAATTTAAAAAATTTTCTTTTGCTTTGAAATAAACTTAAAAAATTAATTTTTGTTAATTTTCTTTTGAATTTAAAGGCTTTTACCTACAATTTATGCCAACAATTTTCCTTGTGTTCATTAAAGACCAACTTAAAAATACTTTGTTTGTTTTCAGTCTTAAATAATTTTAATTTCAAAATTTAATTCTTAAAAAGAAGCTAAAGCAAAAATGGTAATTAATTAATATATATCCTCTCTTTTAAAAAGTTTTTTTTTTAGAAATTTCACTTCAATGGCGGACTCGATTGCCCAGAATGGGTTCTTTCACAAATTTCGCGAATTTCAAAAATTGTTTTAAAATAAAAAATAAGAAATTCAATTAAAATTAATATTTAGGATTTAAACGAATTTAAAGAATTATGTTCGAAAATTGTAGAAAATTTTGAAAATAAAACTGAAAGATGGGAGGAAATGAAATTTTCGTTTAATGATAATTCTGCTAATGGTAAAAAAATAAAAATTAATTTAATTTTATTGAAAGGGCTTCGAATCTCCAAAGCGATTATTGCAACGCTCAGCTTTATACTAGAAAAGGCAACAAAATATGATTGTGAAAAAGATGGTGATTTTTTTGAGAATTATATTTTTTTATTAAATAAACAAGGGATGATCTAACCTATTCGAAACATCTCAATTATAAATATTATTAAAATCCAAAAAATTTTTTTCTCAGACTTGGAAGCAGAAATGCTCCAACTTGGACTTCCTGCAGGTCTTTGAAATTTAATCTTTTTTGGTAAAGGAAAAAATAATTTAAAGAGCACACAAAAATCTTACTTGAAAACTACAATAAAATAAAAAATTTCCAAATATTTAAAGAATATCCATTTAAAGGTTTTTCTAAGATTCAATAAAAATCTTTATTTTAATTCCAATTTAAGCCCCTCCAATTAAAATATCTTCAATTGAAAAACTTCAAACAAGTGAGGGAGAAGAACAACAATTTTTACTTTCCACAAAAGAAATTAAATTTACTATAGAAGAGGAATTACTTCAAAAACTTAAAAAAGGTTTTTTTAATTTAATTAAAATAATTTTTAAATTAAAATAGATTTGGGGGCAGCGCTTAAACAATTTGAGACATTTTCTTCCTAATTGATGAAAACAAAAAATTTCAAATTTTCTTTTTTAAAAAATATTGGTTTATATTATTCATAAATAAAGTGAATAATGAGATAAATTATTTTTTTGAATCCCGATAAATAATCAAGAAAAGAAAAACTGAAAATTCTTATAATATCAAAATTCATTTTTTAGGTCAAAAAAGGAAGGAAAATCCCAATTTCCTTAAAACAAATATTTTAGAGAGAATGTTCGTTATTTTTTCAAAAATGGCCCCAATCATTCTTTTGCTTCCTCTGCCACTTTCTTCCCCTTCCCATCATCAACCACCTCGCCGTTGGTTGCAGAATCTTTACCTTCATCCTTCCCGTCCTTTTCAGCTTTCTTCCCTTCTTTGGGTATTCCTTCATTCTCGTCATCTACATCCTCTAAATCACCCATTTCGTCATCTTAAAATTAAAAATATTTTTTTGTTGAGAAATATAATTTGAAACAAGACCCAAGTTTAATGAACGCTATAATTCGTTCCATGGCATATTTTGTGGGTAAGAATAGCAACACCAATCTTCCCCGAATTAAATAATTACAAAAAATCATACCATAGTCATGGTCATCATCACCCAAATCAAGATCATCATAACCTTTACCGCCACCGCCTGGAAGGCCAAAACTTGAAAAGTCCATATCACGCATATCTGTATTTTCGATTTATTTTTAACTAATAAACAAAAACACAAACCGTCTTTGTCATCTTCATCCTGGTCCTTCCACTTGTCAAAGTCAATTTTTATCCATGGAACCTAAAAGTTTATGTCATTCTTCAAAAAATTATGTCATTCTTCAAAAAATTTATGTCATTCTTCAAAAAATTTTGCTCTTCAAAGCATATCCAAAAATGAACAGCTTTATTGCCCCCTCCCCCCATAAATAATGACATATTGCCAAAAATCTTAAAAAAATGAACTAAAATTTTTAATCCATACCAAGATTTTAACTTGTTCCAAAAAAATAAAATTTAATAATTCCAACCTTTCCTGAAACTTTCAAAAGACGTGGCCACCATTCTTCAGTTTCTTTTGGAATAACAAATTCAATCCTTCGGTCAGTTTCAATCTTCCTACGTTCGGCACCTTTCAACTTTCCATACAAAACAAGATCTGCCTCATACTTATTTCCACCTTTTTCTCCTCTAAAAATTTTTTCATTTTTTATTCTAATTTTTATTTACTTTAATTTAAATTTGTCATCTTCACAACAGAGTTCGTCAATTTTCAAGCCACCATCTTCAATTGTCAGAAAAATTTGTCCAGCACGTTGTGCCCAAAGAATTGATGGATGTTTAACAACTAAAGTCATTATGTATAATTTTTAGCTGCAAAATTAGAAAAGATTAAAGAAAATAATTATTTATTTATCTAAAACGAATATTTAGTTAAATGAATGATTTGTTGGACATTGGAAAAAAGAAAAATAAATGAAAGAGAAAATAATATTTCTTTGATGTTCTGTCAACATTCTAGAATAAAAAATGGCCATTTGAGTCAAACACAGGGAAATATAGGACGGAGTTTGAGACCCTCACTTCACCCTACCTAAATCTTGGATGGGTACCTCTAATAGGTAATGAATAAAGTAAATAGGTAAGATATATACAAAATATAAATTTATTAAATAGGAATAATTAATTAAAAAATTTTTAAGCATTTTATACATAAATATAAATTCAAATTTGTCGTAAATAAATTAAGGTAAAGTAATAATAAATACCTTTTTAATATTGATTTTGCTTATTATTTATTTGTTTTTAGCTTTTCCAATAATTTGTAGTCAATGTAAATGTATGGTTCTTCTGGCAAAACCTTCCCTCTTTTGTCGAGAAAGCTTTAAATAAAATTATTTTGCAAATTATTCTTTATTTTCTCTCACCCCCTCCCTTCCCAAATATATTTTGTACACAATTATTTATTCAGGTTTTTTGGTTCAGTTTTAGCTCATGATATCTATATTTGGCTTCTATCCAATTTAGCTTTATTCAATAATTCAAAAAAAAAACGGAGAAATTTTTAGAGAAAAAATTTAAAAAACCTTATCGGTTCAGGAGAACACAATGCTTTCTTCAAATTTTTGGAACGACTCCCAGCGTCAAAAGGATTTTTGACATGATCAAAAGTACACTTATAATCCTCATAACTTGTAATTCCTTTCAAGACCAATGGTGTGTGGTCATAAATCACTAAAAATAATTTTCTAAATCTCTATTAAATTAAAATTAACATACTCATCGTAACACCAATAAAAGACGCGAGAAAAGGCAAAACTAAAAATAAAATTTTAAAAATATTTCCCTTGACTAAGATTTATGTAACTGGCCAATTCTTTTAATTTTGGAAGGGCCAGATTTCCTTTTTCAGAACAGCAGGCGAAAATTTTAAGAATCCTGGTCTGGGATTAAAAGTCTCCGAAAAAATAATGGCACAAAGCTCAAAATCTTCTTACGAGGCTTTTGAGAGATAATAAAAATTTAAAAAATACTTAATACAACAGGAATTGGGTTGTCCAAAAGAGAAACTAGAAACGCGCCATCCTTTTCAGCCATTACTGTAAATTGAATTCAAAAATAAAGAAAAACAAAAAAAAACAACTAACCCAAATAAAAGTGCAAACAAATACAAATAATTGCAAAAAAGCTTGTAACCGCAACAAAAGTAATAAAGAGATAAAAATGACGAAAATTCCGTGCTCCAACACAGTTACCAATCCATGGGCAATGATCTAAATATTTGAAATTTAAACCTTTAAAAGAAAAATGTTTACGATCGAAATTCAAAACACAATTGTCACAAATACTGCAATGCCTAAATTTAAAAAAAAATTTTGAAAATAAATTTTAAAAATTTAAGACTAACGAACTACGAGGCGGTCTAAAAATTTTACAGGTAATACAAAATTTGACTAGAACACCGCAGCCATTAATGTTGACTATCCTTTCATTTAGCAACTCTCGTTCTTTATTTTATTAAGAGATTATATTTTTTCAAATTTAATAAAAAACCTTCAGGAGTCTTTGCCATCTTTTTTATTAGATTATACTCAGAAATTTCCGCTGCTGAAGCTCGTGGAATAATGCCTGGATCGGTAAATGCTGCACGAAGCATTGTTGATATAACAAGCAAAAAAAGGATAGCCATAAAGATTGGAACAAAAAGACCAATTTTGATTGTTAGAAATGGAAGGCTTAAATGAAATATTTTTGGTTGGAAAAATTATTTCGGGTATTATTGCTCTTCCTAGATGGTGGATTCTGCGGAATTCAAAAAGGTTCCAGGAACAAGTCATTCCAGCCTACAGTGCAGGATGTTAAAATGGAGTGGGTGTATTGAGTGACCTGTTCTTACATTAGCAAAACAATTAAGCCTTTAATAAAAAAATACCAAAAAATGTAAAACATGCACATCACCAATAGCAGAATTGAGAAAGTAAACATAAACAGTAAATTTTGTCTGCTAGATACACACCTACAAACAAAAAACATGAAAGTATTCAAACAAAATAGCACCACCTTCCATTGAAAAAGAACTTATTTCTGCCTTGATGTTCTTGCCATTTACGAGTACATCCCGAAGAAGGCATTAGAGAAAAGCGATACACAAAAGTTAAATCAAGAAAATAATTAAAAATCAAACACATGTTTTTCTAATAGTTATTTCCAACCAAACTTTAAGGCGTCAAAAAAATAAAATCAAAAATTCTAAATACATTTTACACAATAAAAATATGCGCACAATAAGAGTCAATCAATCTCACAAACGATCAAAAAATCAATCAATGGTGCATTTCGTTCATAATTCATGAATTCTACATTTCTTTGATCAGTTAATTGCTTGATGCCGCGTTTGAAAATAATTGAGTGGTTGGAATAGAAATTCTACAATTCATCTTTGAAAATTGATGTTGATGGCGCGACTTATGTTGATGATTTCGTTGAACAGGCTGTTGATCAGTGCCTCCATGCGAGTAAATATCATGTCTACCTAAAACCGACAAAAATAAAATTGATAGAAGACAATAAACAAATACAATGTTGTGCAAGCTCCAAACGAATGAAACAGTCTAAGCCATCAGGCAATCTATATGGGATCAAATGAGGATTCAAATGCAGCTTAAATCTGTCCGTCACGCTATAATGAGAAAAAGTTGTGTATTTTTAAAAATCAAAATCAACTCACTAATTCATTGCACTGTCATCAAATTGTGGCCGCTTTTGCGTTGGACTTTGAGGGATTGGACGCACAAAGAAACGATTTTTCGCACTTACCCCTTTGAACGGCAATGGTCGAGACTTAATCATCTCTTGAAATTCCTCATCATGCATTGGCACAACATTCAGTGGGGGAAAAACAAACTTAAAAAATATGATTTATGCTAGAAAAGAGGTAGTAAACCTTGAATTTAGTAAGCAATTGATCACCGTTTGGTGCGACTGTATCTACTGTTTTGATGACTCGTGCCGTTGGAATACTTTTAAACAGTCCGCCACATTGGTTTACAGGTATGCAATAACCAACAATTTGTTGAATTCCTCAAAGAATTTTAAAATGAGTTATTATTGAAACAAAAAAGAGGCTATTTAAGACTGGACATTCAAATGAGAAATTAAAAAAATGCCTCACCGTCGTGCAAATTGAAGATTCTAATGTGTTGGCCATGAGTAGTGGGAATTGAACATGGATCGACCATCAAAAGAAAAGCAGAGTTCATTTCTTGCATAATTAATTCAAATAAAAATTCAGTTTCAGTCGTCCTAATTGAGCTTCCAAAAAGTGTATGATGGGCTAAATAAATTTCTAGTAATATTTTAAAGAAAAAAGTTATAATTAATTTGACAAAGAAAAGTAATGAATGAATAAAATAAAGAAAAAATTAATTTAATTTAAATATGACAAAAGTCGAGATTTTCAACAGAACGCCAAAAGATTACTGTAATTTTGTGGTAAAATAAAATTTAATGAAATTCGAAAGTCTGAAAAACTAATTTTTAGGGATGTGAGTGTGGATTTAGTCCTATTACTTCTACATATGGCCTAGAAAACTATGCACGCAAAATCATAAGCGCATAAATAAAGAAAAAATTTATCGGAAAAGTTAATTTTTGTCTGCACATTTTTGTAAATTATTGCTGCTATTTGAGTCTTACGTCTAAATTTTTCGGGTTGTTTCATACATAAATTAAAATTCTATTACTACTAAATATTTATCTAAATTTTAATTACAGATTTTGTTTACTTAAAAATAATCTACATATTTTTAATTTATGGAGAAATATCCAAATTATGTACCCCCTTTGCCAGTTGGATTTGGTTGGAGTGAAGATGAGGAGGATGATTTTACTGACCAGCCTTCTTCTACTTACCAACAAACAACTCCTTCATTTTCACATTTTCAATTAGAACCAACTACTTCATTAAACAACAAAAATAATTTAAATAATGGCTACAACACTTCAAATAAAATGTTACAAATTGAAGAATTAGTTGAGAGGAACAGGCAAGCTGATCAACGTAATTTTTTTTAATTTTAAGAAAATTTTTCATTATTTTTTAGAAGATTTAATTAATTTGGAACAATCTGGAATTGTTATTTCATTTGAAGAAAATACTAGTCTTTCTTGTCCTTCTTCTACTAGTCCTTTAAATTCTAATTTAAAATATCACCCTCTACCTTTACAATCAATTGCCTATGATTATACTTGTCTTCCTTTACGGATAGTGGAACAAGAACGGAAATTTTTACCTTTGGTTAGTTTAATTTAACTGTTAAATTTTTTATATTATTTTTTTGTTTTATTTTCATAAATTTTTTTTAAATTAAATAGGCAGTTTGGTTTGCATTAAGACTGAAATTATACCAATTTTTATTTAAAAATACTTAAATTATTTTTAAAAAAATTTTAGATTGGAGAAATGAGCTCTCCTTTTCTTCGGCCAATACTTGTTGATGGAATTGGATTAATTAAAGCTTATTGGGAAGGTTGTAGTGAAGACGATGAAGATGGAAATAATGGAAATATTTCTTATTTACGAGATGATGATAGAAGGTTTTTTGAATAAATTTTTTGAAGTTAAAATATTTATAAAAACTAAATTTTTCCATGAATTTTTCAGTCAAAACATAAATAAGTTTTTTTTTATCGCCAAAATTAATTTTTCTTTTCCCAGTTTCCCAATAATTCCAATTATTCGATGTTTATTTTACTGGGTTTCTCGTGGCCATTTAACAAAACTCTGCTTCCCAATTGACTATAATCCAATTGCGAATCGACAAGAATATGCTGTAAATGATCAAAATCTTAAAACTTTAAAACAATTGGAGACTTTTGGAATTGCTTTATTTTTTGATTCTACTTCTAATTCTGTTAATTGGTAGTTTTTAAAAAATATTTTTTAAAACAAAATTAATTTTAGGTTTGCAGATAAGAAAGATTCAATACGCGCTTGTTTAATTACTTCTATGGTACATTATGCAGAGGGAATGCCTTCTAGTCTTCGACGACAAAATTATAGCTACAAAACTTGGAATGAGACCCATATGGTTAGTTGAAGTTAGGCGTGAACATGTCCTGATAGGGTTTCTGTCATTTTTGAACTGGGAAAATTTGTGTTCCATTTTTCCCCAAAAAATTCCTGTTTAACTTACTCAACCGTTAAATATCACAACTTTGATCTAATTTAGTATCCTAATGCTTTTTCTTACTTAATTCTCATATAAATTTTGGTTGTTAAAATGGAATATTTTTATTCGCCAATTACTATATACTTTCCTCCATTTCTAATATGTAAATTAAAAAAAATTTTTTTTAAACAAATTTTCAGTGTTCAGAACGTACTCTACAGCCTTATTATGGTCCTAGAGGTGATTTAGTATTTTTCTCCCCAATCAAAGGAGTTAAAAAAGAATTTGTGACAGACACTGTTCTAGATAATGATATAAAAACTGAAGAAGAATTTAGACAATTTGAACGTTTCCAACTTCGATTTATTACTCAAGTTTTTTTTTAATTTTAATTAAAAATTAATTTCTAATTAATTTCAGGCAAAACATTTAAAAATTCTTTATGATTTACTTCCAAAAGAAAAACGGGCACAGGAAGCGCATGTAATGGTTGCTTTATTGAATAGACTTGAATGGCATTTAACTCATTAAAAAGTATTAGATATGTTTTTAAAAATTTAATTACGAGTATATATTTAATACAAATAATTTACATTTTTGACTTCAAAATTATTTTTTATTAGATTTTTTGACATAAAAATTTATCACTAGATGATAAGGTAGAATAAGAGTAATCAAATACGAAACTGCGATTTTTCTGATTTCGCAGTTCCGTATTATAAAAAAATTTATCTTCGTCCTCCTATATTCTGGGACAATAATTAAATTTCCTACCCGAATAAAAATCGAAAGAAATAAATTAAAATATTTATTCAAAAATACTTTAAAAAATATAAATTTCTATTATAAATAAAATTTATTTATAAAGTCAAAATAGAAATTAAAACTAAATTAAGAACCATATATATTTTAGTGGCCGATGACAAGAGGTTATAAAATTATAAAAACATTTTGGACACTTTTAAGTCAATTTAGAGAGAAGCAATACGTTTCTCTTGGTCATTTAATTCATTGCGAATTTTCTCTGGAAGGTCAGAATTAACCTGAAAATTGTGGGGATTTTTTGGGAAAAATTAAAGAATTTTACCTGTTCCTCGAGGAATTTTCTAACTTCTTTAGAATCTTCATTCCAATAGTTGGGAGGTAAAGACATTAATTCCTCCCTTAAAATTTTTTTTGATAAAAAATTATCCAGATTCGTATTTATGCTAAATTACAGTCGAACTCCATTTTTTGATATCTCTAAAATTAGAAATCCCCAGTTTGGTGGCCATTGGATGGTTAATTTAACCCCTAAAATGTCCCTCATTACAAGATACAATTTTTGGCACTAAATGATATCTAAAAATCAGTTAACCCATTCTTTTGGATTTATCATTTTACCAATTAATCTCTCCAAGTCCATTCAAATTCAAAGAATCCTTTGTTGGAATAGTCCCAATAGCTGTTTCCTAAAAAAATATTTTTTTAAAAATATTTTTTCTTCAAATTTTTACAATTCCAATTCCATTATCTCCATCAAGACGTCTAACAATCCAATCAATAACTCGAATATTGTCACCATATCCTGGCCATAAGAATTTTCCTTGGGATGATTTTCGAAACCAATTGACCTTTAAAAACAAAAGAGATTTTTGTTGTTTTATTTTTAAATAATTTACATGAAATATTTTCGGCATTTTACGCCCAGGCTTTTTCAAATTACACCAATGCTCCAAATATTTACCAAAATTGTATCCCATAAATGGACGCCTTTTAAAAATTAATTTTTTATTTTTTAATTTAATTACAAATTTACATTGCCATAGGGTCATGCATAACTGTCTTTCCTTAAAAATTCCAAAATTTCCAAAAACATTCCCTTTCCCTTTTTACCTTTATGTTCAGCAGCAGCCGTTGTTTCTGATTTAAGACAAGCACCAGTAAAAATTCCATGTTCCCACGAAAAACATTCAAAAACTAAAGGAACACCTTCGGGACGGCGACCGCCAAAAATAATTGCATCAATTGGGACGCCTTCTGAAAAAAAAAACAAAAAATTAGCAGGCTAACTAGTTTTCAAATTATTCATCATTTATCAGACCAATTAATTATTCAAATAATTCCAACTCACTCGGGGATTCCCAATTTGGATGAATAATAGGACATTGCTTTGCCGGTGCACAAAAACGCGAATTTGGATGTGCTGCTGGAGTAGTAGATTCTCCAAATTTCCAATCATTTCCCATCCAGTCAATTATTTTTATATCTTCCTTTTTTTAAATTTAAAATATTTTCTTTAAAATATTTAAATTTACTCTATCTTTTATTTCATCTTCCAATCCTTCCCAATAAACTTTTCCTTCATTAGTTTCTGCTACATTTGTAAAAATAGAATTACGTTGGAAAGTAGCCATTGCAATTGGATCTTTTTTAATTCATTTTATTAAAATAAAAAGTATTTTTTTACTTGTTTTCATTGAAGTGCCAGGGGCTACACCAAAGAAGCCGGCCTAGAAATTAAAAAAATTATTTGAGAATTAAATAAATAAAAAAATTGGGGAATCACTTTTGCTCTGTTAAGTGCAATATTTCACTAAATATTCGTCCAAATTAGAAATAAACTTTCATTTTTCCGTTAAGACCATTCTCTTACAGACCTAGAAGAGATTTTGTTCAAAAAGAACTTTTTTGAGATACCAATCCCAAGCCTAATCACCCCCCCCCCCCCCCCAAGTACCTCAGGATTAATTGCATATAAACGTCCATCTTCTTCATCAAATTTCATCCAGGCAATATCATCCCCAACACAACGAACATTCCATCCCGGAAGTGTTGGCTCTAACATTGCTAAATTAGTTTTTCCACAGGCAGAAGGGAAAGCTGCGGCAATAAAGTGTTCCTTGCCCTCCGGGCTTGTTACACCCATAATTACTGAAAATAATATTTTTTTTAATAAAAGTAAAAATATTTTCCCCATCCCGAACAGAGTAAAGACAAAAATGACCGTAAAAAATTTTTATTCCAAAATCCTTACACATATGCTCAGCTAACCATCCTTCATCACGTGCAATATTTGAAGCAATTCGAAGGGCAAAACATTTCTTTAAATTTTTAATTTAAAAATAATTTCCACTCTTTTACCTTTCCAAGCAAAGAATTTCCCCCATAACCAGAACCAAACGACCAAATTTCTCTTTCTAAAGGACGATGAGCAATAATTACACGTTCTGACAAAATTAATTTTTTTCAAAAATATTTAATTTTACCAGGATTACAAGGCCAATGACTAATTACTTTCTCTTAAAAAAGAATTATTTTTTTAAATCAAAAATTTTGTTTTCCAAACGTTTAACAGGACGGGGCAATCCAACAGAATGAATACCTCTAACAAAGTCTTGGTCACCTAAAGCCTCTGCCACATCAGGCAAAATTCGAGTCATAACACGCATAGAAAGGACAACATAAGTAGAATCAGTCAACTTTTTAAAAAATATTCTTCCAAAAAATTCCCTCCTTTTTTTAATTTACCTGAATTCCAATTTTAGACAAAGGACTGCCTAATGGACCCATCGAAAATGGAATTACATACATAATACGTCCAGCCATACATCCAGGAAAACGAGCGTCTAATTCCTCGGCAAATTGCATTGGAGACATCCAATGACCCATTATTGGCTCGACATTTTCTGGAGTATGTGTGACTGTCTGTGAACGAGGGAGGTGAAGATTTGAAAAACTTTTTTGAGAGATTCGAAAAATTTTAAGGAGAGTTACTCTGCTTCCGAAAATATTAAGGATTTTGAAATGGGGGGAATCCTTTTCTGAGAATCCCTGACCCTATCTGAAATGAAGTCCCAAATCAAATTTTTTCCATCTTCCTTAAAATGAGTAATTTCCTTTACATTTCTCTCTATTTTTGATTTGTGCCGTAAGGCTATAAATGTAAAAGGATTAACTGAACGTGTGCGTTCGTGTGTTTATGACCGTGTGTGTCCGTGTTTTCTCTGTCTGTGTCCGTCTGTGCTGTCCAGTTCGTCCGTGTTTTGTCTGACCGAGTTCGTCCGTGTCCGTGGAACCAGTAAAGGTCCGGAACCGGTTTAGAACCAGTTCGGACAAACTCGGACAGACAAACACGGACGAACTCGACCGACAAAACACGGACGGACTCGGACTGACAAACACGGACGGACTCGGACGGACGCAAACAGAGAAAACACGGACACGCACGGTCTTACACACGAACACACACGTTCAATTAATCATTTTGCATTTATGCCTTACGGCACAAATGAAGAATAGAGAGAAATGTAAAGAAAATTACTCATTTTAAGGAAGATGGAAAAAATTTGGGCTAAACTACAGTTTCCGTACCAGGCTCAGAATTGGATGATTTATATGTCATTCGAAAGAGCTCGTCGAGCTGAGTCGAACGACATCAAAATTATTCAGCGGAAAAAATTCTGAGCCGAGTTACAGACCCCTAAAGTTCAAAAAACCATAGGGGGAGTAAGCTGATTTTTGGGGGTGAAAAATTCGAACATACAAATAATAGCTCATTCGAAAGAGGTCGTCGAGCTGAGTCGAATGACACCAAAATCACCGAAATCTGACTTGATTGGACAAAGTTATGACCGTTTGTTTTTACCCCTTCCACAAGGTTTTCGCGGAAAAAAGTTTTTGCCGCTGCGGAGGAAGCCGGGCATGTCGAGCGGAACGACGGCCGCCGCTTCGCTACGGTCGCCGCGAGCGCAGCGAGCACGACCGCAGCGAAGCACGGCCATCGTGTAGCGAAGACCATGCCCGGCCTACCCTCCGTAGCAGCACAAAAACAGTTTTTCCAGCGAAGATTCTGTTGGTCATAACTTTGTTCACATTCATCCAATAGAGCTGATTTTGGTGTCATTCAACTCAGCTCGCCGAGCTCTTTTGAATGAGCTATCATTTGTAAAATCGAATTTTTCACCCCAAAAATGAGCTTACTCCCCCTATGGTTTTTACCCATTTCGAGCCCTATATCTCGGCTCAGAATTTTTTCCGCGGAAAAATTTTGGTGTCATTCGACTCAGCTCGCCGAGCTCTTTCGAATGACATATAAATCGTCCAATTCTGAGCCTGGTACGGAAACTGTAGTTAGGCCAAAATTTGATTTGGGACTTTATTTCAGATAGAGCCGAATCCCTTATTGTTTCTCCTTCCCAAAATTCACCTCAAATTTCTCTCTAGTAACCATCCAAGTTTTACTTTCTACTCTAGCACAATCCCTAGGATCTGTTCGACACAAATAATTATTTTCATAAGCAGTCAAAGGTGTAAGAACTCCACGCTTAAAATAAAAAATTATTTTTTCGCTTTCTCAACAACAATTTTCTCCCTACTTCAACCAACAAATCAGTCATTTCCTCCGCTTCGTGTTCAGAACCGTCACAAATAAAAATTCCCTAAAAGAAAAAATAAAAAATAAATCTCAAAATATATTTACATACTCTTGGTCGGCATAACTCTGCTTTTTCTGCAACAAAACGTTGAACTTTAAATGGAAGTAAGTGAAAATCGCCCTAAAATTATTTGAAAAATTAAAAATAATTTTTTTTTGTATTTTATTTTTACTTTTTAAAAATTCAGAATTAATTTAAAAAGTCACTATTTAATAAGAATTTACTAACATAAAAACCAGACTTGGTAACAGGGATGTCACGGGTTGAGAAAAATGTCGGGTCGGGTTTCGGGTCGGGTTTCCAAAATTTTTCTCGGATCGGGTTTCGGGTTGAGAAAAATGTCGGGTCGGGTTTCGGATCGGGTTTTCAAAATTTTCTTCGGATCGGGTTTCGGGTCGAAAAAAAGTCCGGGTATCTTCCCTTCTCAGCGCCGCAGGCGAAAATTTTGAGAATTCTGGAAGGTCCGAAGCCAGATTTCTTCCTTTTTCAGCGCCGCAGGCGAAAATTTTCAGAATTTTGGAAGATCATTAAGCTAAAAATCTTCACTTTTTCTCCGACGAGGGCGAAAATTTTGAGAAAACTCGGGTCGGGTTTCGGGTCGGGTTTTAGAAAATTTCTCGGATCGGGTATCGGGTCGAAAAAAAGGCCGGGTTTCGGGTATCGGGTTTCGGGTAACCCGTGACATCCCTGCTTGGTAATGAACATGGATTTTGGTATCCGTATCCGGATATCTACGGCGAATACAAACGGATATCCGCAGGCACTTTGAACTTATATATATATCCATATCCGTATCAATTACCAAGCTTGATAAAACCCCGAATTCATTCCCACTGCTAATTTTAAAAACATAACAGCTTCCTTCCTTTTACCTTCAAAATCGGCACAGGCCCCAAACGTTTCAAAACAACTTCATTAATTACATAAAAAGCATCAGCACTAATTTGTCTCAAAGAAGAACAAGCCCCTTGAGTTTCTTTAAACGGTGGGGGTATAGTTGGGACAGCTTCTGCTGTTGGTTGTTGTTGGTGTTGGGGAAATGAAATAGTTGTTGCTGCTGACATTTTTGTTAAAAATAAATTTCTAAAAATTAAAAAATGTTTTTGGCAAATATTAGAATTTATATTCATTTTTTTTAAATTAAAAGACACAACTAGAAAATAAAATATTTTTAAAATCAGCTCCACACTATTTGAAGCTCACTCCCTAATATAAGCACACCTTACGAGAGACCTACGAGAGGATCGAAAAATAGAAGCACATGTGGACCTACATTTATGGTATATTTTTGTATTTTTCCTAAATTACTAAACAATTAAAAGTACACATCATTTAACGACAAAAATAGAAACAAATAAATAAAAAATAAATACACATGTTGATATTATCAATTTTTGTTTAAAATTGCCTCGTGTATTTACTTTTGTGTAGAATGTAAACAAAATATGAGAGCATATGATTTTTTATTTTATCATTTTTCTAAATGCAAATCTTTATTTGGAAAGAAACAAAATTTAAGTTAAAAATTTTAGTAAAGTTTTTTAGATTTAATTTTTTGTTGATTGTGAGCTTTACAAAATAAAAGAAATTCTAATTATTGTCCAGAGTGCATTTGGGTCCAATAAAAAGTATTTTTTATAGGACGGTGTACATACAGTCGTGGAAAAAAGTATGGAAGCGCTAGAAAATTTTTTCTTATTTCTTAATTTTTCATACAAAAAATACATTCTATATACCAATCGAAAGCTCTATTCGTATTTCAGTTGACATGTTTCTGCATTTTTGATGAAAATGAAAATTGGCCGAGATAATCCGGATCCACCGGATATAACAAATCCCACTTTTTCGGAAAAATTTTTCGGAACAAATTTAACAAACCCAAATGATAAAGCATATTTTTGTGAGCATTTACCACAAAACCGCTTAGAAATATCTTTCTCCGGAGCAGAGATATGATTTTTTGAAAATGGCATTTTTCGTCTATTTTTGCAAAAAATTCAATTTTTAAGCGAAAAATGCGATTTTCAAAAAATCATATCTCTGGACCGGAAAAAGATATTTCTAAGCGGTTTTGTGGAAAATACTCAGAAAAATATGCTTTATCATTTGGGTTTATTAAATTTATCGAAAAATTTTTCCGAAAAAGTGGGATTTGGTATATCCGGTAGATCCGGATTATCTCGGCCAATTTTCGTTTTCATGGAAAATGCAGAAACATGTCAACTGAAATACGAATAGAGCTTTCGATTGGTATATAGAATGTATTTTTTGTATGAAAAATTAAGAATTAAGAAAAAATTTTCTAGCGCTTCCATACTTTTTTCCACGACTGTATGCTTTTAATATGTATAAACTGGAAGTTTTGTATATGTATTAAGCATATGATTTTAAAAAAGTGATTATTTTGACAAGGAAGTAAGTACACATTCACACACACAAATTGTTAACTTCCCCCAATCGTTAATCTATTAACTGCGGTTATATTTCGATTTTTATATAAACATATAAACCTATGGGGAGTAACAAAGTCCGAAGAGCACGTCCTCGTGTCTGTCGGTGTTTTCATAAATAAAATTTAGAAAAAAAATGAGGAGGAGGGGGGGGGGGAGAATAAAGAAGTAATTAAAAATTCATTTTTAAATTTGGGGAAAGAATGTTTTTTGATTAATGTAATATTTGATTTTTAATTTAAAAAAAGATTATTTTTTGTCATTTAAAAATTTTGACAATAAAAATAATTAAAAAAATAAATATTTAGTAATCGATTATAATTTTTTTTGTTTAAATTTAAAATAAAAGAAAAAACCCCTCAAGAGATTTCTTTTTTTATTGACAAGAAGGAATAAAAAAAGCGAGAATGTATTTATTTACTTTACAATTTTAAATCAATAATTAATTAATTTTAAATGTTTTGGAATTTAAATAAATTAATTTGGAAATAAAAATTAAAATAAAAATTTTTATGTAAATATTTTAATTTTTTTAAAATTATTTTCCCTCTAAAATTGCATGGAAAAACTAGAAAGGTAAAAATTAATTTAAAACAAACAGCCGCTTCCGGTGAAAGAAAAAAGTTTTCTTTTCTTCTTAAAATTACTAATAAATATATTTATTTATTCCCTCTAACTGTTCAAAAAAAAGTTTAGAAGAACATTTGTTTCTAAAATTTTTCATTTAAATAATTTAAAGGCCATATGTTTTTAAGAAAATAATTTTTCTCGATTTATATTTAGACCTCGATTTTGTTTTTAATTTTGAGTAAAATAATTTTAAAATACCTATATTTTTATTAAATGCACCGTTACAAAATATTAAATTTCTAATAAAAAATATTGGAATAATGGCCAATATGAAGTTTCTGTTTTTAGAAAATTTGTTAGAATTTCCTGCAAAGTTGGTTGTATATCAATTACTTTGAAGCCTTATAACTTTTTGATTTTGGTGTCAGAGCCAAAAAAGCCAAAAATAGGCAATAGGAAATCGACCCTGCTCTACACGATGGCGCTAAAAAAGTTATAAAATTTTTACATACAATTCGGATTGTTTCCTTGTTAGAATTTATTCGAGAGGTTAACAACAAAAGTCGAGACTTTAAAAATATTTTCGATCATTTTTTCTTCTCCTCAACTTGATGATTTTAAAGAAATGATTAGAAGGGAAATAAAAAAAAAGAAAAATCTGTTCCTTCTTTTTTTTCTTGGCTTTCACGTTTTTATTTTTTTCTTTTTTTGTTCAAATAAAAATATTTTTATTTATTTCTGTTCTCCTTCCCCCCTTACGTTTTTACCTCAATTGCTTGATTTTTTCAATCAATCGTTTGGAAATTAAACAAAAATTTATTTTTCTCTTTTGTTTGTAATTCGAAATTCCTTCCAACCTCCTTCCTTCTCATCATCTAATCTGAGTAAAAATTATTTTTTGAAGTATTTTTGAGGCTTTTATTTACTACAAATTAATTAAAAACAAAATAATTTTTAAAGTTTTTATTTTAAAAATTAAAAATGGCTAAAAAAGGAAGTAAAAAATTCAAAGAACCAGCAAAACCTTTAACAAGAAATACAAGCAGTGAAAGGCGTAAAAGAGAAGCTGCTGCAAATGGTGGGAGAAAAGATGGAAGGAGAATATGCTGTTCTTCACTTAGAGTAAATAAATATTTTTATTCTTATTTTACAAAAATAAATGAAAATAATTTCTTTGTTTGTAACTTTCCGTTTATTTTAAAAATTTGAATTGTTGAATTATTGACCATTTTAATCAGAACGTCTTAAAAAAGTTGAAAGATTTTAAATTTATCACGTTTGTTAATAACCTCAAATCTCGATGTCTCTTTCCTTAAAAATTCGGTTCCAGGTGACGTCTTATCGAGATTCGACTAATACTTTATAGTTGGACCTCGCTACATTATACACTTTTTGATGTCTATATCTTAGTTATATACCTATATAATTTAAGGTATCCCGAGAGTGTAAGGCTTAAAAGAGAAGCTGCTCTCTCAAATCTGACTGTACATATATATTGAACCGTTTTGAACCGATAAAAAATTAATTAAAAAGACAACAAAAGCCAAAAAATACCCCCAAAATTTTATTTAATTTTTTCATTTTTTAGACAGCTGGTTTTGTAGTTGCTTTTGTAGAATTTCTTTTATGTATTTTAACAGTTTATGGATTATTTTATAATTTGTTTATGTTTGGAGGTTCTTATGTAATTTGGTTTATTTTGGGGATTATTTCTGTTATAATAATATTAATTGCTATTATATTATTAATTTACGCTATAAAGAAGGAAAGCTCCAGATTTTTAATTCCACACATTTCTGCACAGGTAAAGAGAAAGATTAATTTAAATAAAATTCCTAGAATTATATAGAAGAATCCATTTGAGATTCCAAAAAGAAAGATGGGAATTTTAGAAAAATTAAATAAATTAAAATACAAATTTTAAAAGCAAAAATTTTCTCTTTAAATTTTTGGCACCCACTCCGCTCCCTTAAAGAGGTGTGGTGTAATTCGTAACATCCGGTTTGATTCCCAGGAATCGTGGAATAATTATAAGTTACAATTTTTAGGCCAGAGGTGTCCCTTACATATTGTAAGGACTTACGAATGTATTAATTATCTAATAATAATTTTTAAAAATTATTTAACAAAATTAAGAAAAAATTATAAAATATTTTAAAAAATATCTACATAAATATTTAAAAAATTCTTATTTTTTTCAGATATTTTTAATAGGATGGCTTATAATTGTAGCAATTGTAGTTGCTCTTTTACTTCTTTTTGGTGCTTATAATGGAATTAGACGTTTAGTTGGACATGGGGATTATAAAAGAAATTATTGTTTGTTAATTTTTTTAATTAAAAAATAAAAAAAATAATTTAATTTAAAGCAACTCATTGGCTTGGAATAATGATTATTATTGTTTATTTGGCTATTGCTATTCTTGAAATATTCTTTTTATATATTGTTTGGCAATTATATAAGTAATTAATTATTTTGAAAAAAAAGTTACTTACACACCGATATAAAAAGTACATGAGAGTTTAAGTTATACGAGATGAGGGTGTGGGAGAGAAGTAAGTACATATACTACCAGACATTATCTAAATCCTCACCAACATGTACACACCCTTAATTTAATCTGTACATTTTTTTCACATTTGGTTAGCCATTAGGTGGGGAGAGCTGCTATATAGTATTGTGCAAGTCACAGTATTATGCGCAAAATTTACCTTTGTATTGGAAATTATATTTTTAAGTGACTTTCTTTTAATTATTTTTGGACAAAGTTTTAAAGCCTTTTGAATTATAAAAATTATTTTACCTTAAAATTAAAAAAAAATAAACAAATTGGCTATGGGGTTCTGAACACAAAAAATCTTAAATAACACCCAATATATCTTCAACATCTCTTTACTCCTAAAAACACTAATATATTTAATTAAATTGACATAATTAAAGGCAATATCGCGCTTATGAAAAACTTTCTGGAAAATATGGCAAAAGTGGAATTATAATTAAAAAACGAAGAGCAGAAGACAAACAAACATTGACACACGCCCCTGCAGACGGGGATTGGTATATTCCCCCAAAAAACGAAAATTCTTATGGAGGATCTCCAAATGCTGGAGGTTTGAGTTTAAATTTTTTAAATATTAAATTTATTTTTTTAAAAAGATATTTATCCTTATGAACCACCAATTAGCCCTGTTTAATTAAAAAATGTTTGAAAAGAAGAAGGAAACAAAGAAAATTAATAAAATTGCCATAATAAAAATAGAAAGAATATAATTAATTAATTTAGTTTTTAATGTTTTAAATAAAGAGTCGATAAAATTTTCATTAAATTTTTTATTTAAATTTTTGAGGAGCTTTTTAATTGAAAAGGAAGTAAAAATTTTTTTCCTTCGAAAAAATTAAAAATTCCCGATATTTCTCTTGAAGTATTCAAAAGAAAAATTGTAAAATTTTATTAAAAATATTTTTTGTTAAATTATATTTTTTTTTAATTTCAGAAAAAGTTTCGTTGTTAACAAAAATACATACCTATTTCAATTCTAAAATTTTAAAAACTAAACAAAACCTTTATTCTTTTTTAAATATTTTCTTCAAAAAACTAACAAATTTTTGTTTGTATCCAGGCATAAAATTATACATTCCCATTTCTTTCCTTTCAATATCGGAATTAAATTTTTGAATTAATTCTTGTCTATAGCCATTAACTCCAGCTGTGTAGTGCAAAGGAAATTGATTTAAATGTTGATTATTTTCAAGACGTTGCAAAGCTTTTTAAAAAATAAATTTTGAAATTATTTTAGTTAAGAAAGGGGAGGGGAATCAAAAAAAGGGGAGCGATTCTTAAGAATATTTAATCAAAAATTTTGTATTAGGAACGATAAAGGGTCTGTCTCAATTATATCCCTCAAAATCCTAACCTACAGATATGTTTTTTTATTTAAACAAATTAGTAAAATAAATAATTAAACAAAAATAGAGGTAGAAAGAAGACTCAATTTTCTCAATTAAAAAATGGAACTGAAAGAGAAAAAGTCTGACCATTCTGTAGACATTTAAGAAAAAACTTGGGGATGAAAAATGGGGTTTGTCAGGTTCAATATTGCCAAGAACTGTGACAGAAATAAAAATAGGTAATTTTATTAAATTAAAAAACCTTCAAGACGTTCCTTGCATTTAAAAAAATTAACATTTTTATTCAAATTTCTCTCGTCATTTTGTCCACTTGGAGAAGGTTCAAAAGCTTTATTTAATTGTTTTTCGAGATGAAAACGGAAATTACGTTCATTTGATTTTGTTGTATCTATTGGCCAATCTAATAAAATTCTTCGATAAATTTTGAAAAGATAAGAACCCATTTTTAATATCTAAAAATAAATTTAAAAAAGTTTACAAAAATTTTAAAGAAATGTGCTAAAAAAATAAATATATTTTAATTGATATTTTGAATTTTCGATGTTTTGATAAATTCCTTTACTTTTGACATTATGAATATCTGCTAAAGAATTGCATTGAAAGTAGAGAAATTAATTAGAAGAAAGAGTGTGTGAGTTAGGCTGCTCTATATTCAATTGTTGGTAATTTCCTTTTATTTTATATCACGTCTAAATTTTATAAAATAATTTTTCTTTTCTTTGCAACTTTTGTCCTACTCTTTGGTTATAAACCCTAGTATTAAGGTACTAGTTGCTTCTTGCCCTCGAATACCTGAGTGGCTTGAATAAATTTTGGAATTGCATTGCTTTTAGCGGTGCTTAAAATGTTTTCATGTAATTTCGTATCTCTATTAATTTTTGTGGTTTGACGATGGTCGTTTATTTATTGTTGTTGATTAAAGTAATGGCTTCAAAGATTATAAGAGATCTTAATATGAATATCTGGCCATTTCGTGTGAGAATTAAAGTCGACACTCCCTTCGGTGTCGGGAGTGTCGTGATCGGGTTTTGCCGGGGAAAATAGCTTCCAAGTTCAAAACAATTAAATGACTTTAAAGAAATGGCCAGATATTCATACATATTGGTAAAAATTTAAAAGTTTCAAAGAAATTATTAAGGAGATCTTCGCAATGAAACAATGGGAAAAGGTAACACAAAAAATTACAAAAAATTATTATTAAAAATTAATTAATAAAAAGGCAATTAATACAATAATTATATTAAGCACCATTAAAAATAAATATTTTCTTTCTTTCTTTGAATTACCCCCACTTGTACAAATTGGATTAAATTCCTAGAAAAAAAATTTTATTTTTAATTAAAAAATTTATTTTCAAAAACCTTTGGATGTGAGAGAGTATAGTCTAAATCTTTTCTTTGTTTTCTTTTTAAAGATAATAATTCTAATGATAAATTACAGGAAGGAACTGTAAAAAATAATTTAAAAAATTTATTTTTAAAATTTTCCTTGCCTCGAATATTTGAATTAAATAAAGGAATTGAAGAAGAAAATGATTTTTCTTTATTATAACATTCACCATCAAAAATTAATAAATAAAGATTGGAGTTAGTAAATGGCAATAAACCAACAGTTCTTTAAAAGAAGAATTTTTTTAAAAAGAATTTGAAAGGAAAATAAAAAGGAAAAAATTCATTAATTAATTAATTTTCGCTATAAAAGTGCTAAATTTATTATTTTCTAATACCCATAATTTGTGAATTTATTTACAATACTTGTTGAAAGGTTTGGTTCTAAATACATATTAGAGGAAATAAGGCCATTAAAAAATTGTGAAATTTGGAAAGAAATGTAAAAAAGAGGGAATTGAAAGACTCTGTAAAATATTAATATTTAAAAATAATTTTTAAAAAAGTTTTTCAGATTTATTTTTAAAATTTAAATTTAATTTTCTAACCGATTACATCCTTTTTCACGTATCCAAAAAGGTGTTGTTGACCCCCCTTTTTGTTTTTCTTTTAATTTAATTCGAAATTTTGTTTTTTCAATAATACAATGTTCAAGCATTTCTTTAGGCTGTGAATTTATAGCTTCATCGTCACATTCTATATTTTCTAATGGAATAAATTGGTCTGTTTGGGTTGTTTTTGTTGCAAAAACATGAAAAGAAGGAATCAGAAAGTCTAACCTTAAATAAATATTTTTGGAGAATTTGCTTTTTAAGATGTTTAATTTAGATTTAAAGGAATTTTTAATAAATTTGTTTTAAAATGCACATTTATACATATAAAGTTTGAATCGAAATGAATCTGTCACATCAAAACCGAATAATTAAGGGGGCCTCGCGAAAACCCCCCGATCCAAAAATTATAAGAAATTTCTTCGAATGGTTGCAAAAAGATAATGGAATTTAAGTAAATTAATAAAAGTAGTTTTATATATTAAGTAGAATTTCCTTTTTTTTTATTAATAAATTTAACAAAATGCCAATTTTATAAATGGAGAAAAAAAATTAAATATATTAATGGGGCCAGGAAAAAAAGAACCAAAAAACAAAGTCAATAAAAGAATTAGCACTAAATGAATTGTTGAAATTAGTAACTGCTTTTTAAGATGTTTAAATTTAATTTAAATCTATTTTTAAGGACTTTTAAACATTTAACTAATCTCGTTTTTCATTTTTATTTTTAAAATTACCAAGAAAAAAGAAAAGTTAAAAATTGTAAAAAAGGAGAATAATTAATTAATAAAGAAGAAGAATAATATAAAGAATTGTCTAAATTTTGTTGTTGGAGTAAAGAAAATTGTTGTTGTTGTTGTCGAAGACGTGAAGTTTCGAGAATCATAGGGCAAAGAGAATTTGGGTTTCTCCAAGTTATTCTGTGAAAAAAAGATTATTTAAAGTTTGCATTCCAATAATTAAAAATTAACAAATACTTAGAGCTGACTGGTCATTATATACCGTAAACTCCTAACTAAAAAATAATCGCAGCAAGGCAAAGTTGCTACAAATAAAAACCGACAAGATATGTATGTCGTATTATACGCCAAAATAGAGTAAATTTAGCTTAGACAGGGATATAATAGAGGGAGGACTAGATTTTATGGAGGGATATACATATCTTTCCCCAATTTTTAATTTTAAAAAATACTTTTTAATTAATTCCCTTTCCAAAAATTCATTAAATAATTCTGGCTCAATTTGTGATAAATGTAAAGGAATAAATTCAGAATTTTGATTGGAAGCTAAAACAAAAGAATCAGAATTTAATAATAAACAATTTCTGTGTTGTTTATTTGTAGTTGAACATTCTGTCCAACCATTTTCTGTTTTTGTTTTTATAGCTAATTGGAATTTTTGTTGTAAATAATTAGAACGTAATTGAACCTAAAACACACAAAAAAAGATTAAAATTTTTTGGTTTCTTCTCCTTAAAGAAAATGGGTAAAAAGCTTTAAACAGAAGTATGCCCAGTTTTGCCTCTCGTCTTTCACCTTTTAAAATCGCAGACCCTGGTGCTTTACAGTTGGATCTCGATTTTACAAAAGATTATTTCACCTTGGGGGTGAAATAAAAATTTCTTGTTCCGTCAGTTTCCAAGAATGTAAATTTAACAAAATATGTATTTAATAAAAAAAGGGGAAACATTTAAAAGAAACTACCAAAAATTAAGAATATCTAAAAAATGCCAACCCCAATTCTCGCCAACGAATTACTTCGTGATGGATCAACCACACCAACAGACTGCTCCACCGTGATTAATTCTTTTTCTGTATCAAAATGGACAATCACATTGTTATCATAACCATTGTCATTTTCAAATGAATTATGAAAAAATGAACGTATAGATGACAATTTACTGTTAAAAAATATGTATTAAGGATAAAACGAAATTAAAAAAATAAAGATTTGGAAAGGCTTATCGTTATCTTATTTTTCCTAACTCCAACTATAGCATCCAAAACAACAAAACTTAAAACTTTAAGCACTGCAAAAGCAGCGCAATTCCAAAATTTGCATCAAAACCACACAATCTTTGAGGGCATGATGTTCAACTATTACCTCAAATTATTGGGTAATAACCAAAGCTGTGGGCAAAAGCCTATTTAATAGTCAAAATAATTTGATAAATTTCAGACGTGATATAAAATAGCATTAATTTTTAAGAAAAAGAACATATAGACTAGATAATTTTCACACTCTCTTCTTAAATATTTTTCTCTACAAACTACTATACTCCTTTCGTCATTACAAAAAGTAAATAGTACGAGTTTTTTCATAACACCAAAAGTAACGGAAAGACAAAATCTCCACATGGTGGAGATTTCTCAAAACGGTAAAAAGTTAAAATATTTAAATATTGTCATTAAAGACTCATTAAATGTCTCAACAAATTAAATCTTTCACCAACTAACCATTTAGGGAAAACAGCAATAATTCCTGGATAACCTAAAATAGCTGTAGATTTAAATTCTAAAAATGTTCTAATAAATGTTGTTGTTGATATTTGTTTTTGTTTAATTAAATTTTCATTTAAACATAAATCAACATTTTCCCATTTCTTTTCCAATTTATTTGACCATAAAGGAATTAATTCATTTAAAGCTAATGCTGATAAATGAGAGAGAAGTAAAGAGCCGATACTTGAAGTTGAGGGAAGTAATTCAAGTAAATAATTAAATTGTTTCAAAGGTTTGAAGCGGCTTAGTTCTGTTGACATTGAAAATTGTTGGAGTTGACTTTAAATTAAAAGGGAGGAGGGTAAGGGGAATTAAGGGGTTGGGGAATTACTTACTCATCTCGAAGTAATAATCCAGTAGATGAAGGAATAATTGATTGTGAATTTATTTGTTTAATGTTTTTTCTGTTGCCGTCAAAGCTTGATTTAAGACGTTCAGATAATTCAAAAGGATTTTCCTGATAAAAATAAATGAAAAAGTATAAGGTGGAAATTAAAATTTCAACATTATTTGTCTTTACATTTTTACAATTTATCAAATATTTCTTCCTCACTAACCATTTCCGGCTGCCCTCTCAATATAATTTTCGGTCTTCCTTTCCTCAACACAAATCCAGCAATTAAAGGAGTGTCTGGAATTGGAAAACAACGAAATTGTCTTTTATCATCTTCGAGTGTTTGTGAACATTTTCCAAAAATTAAATTTTCTCTAAATTTAATTAAAAGTTTATCTCCCTCCTCTCTTTCCCTTTCTTCTTCATCCAATTCAAGTAATTTTAAAATATCTGTATGGGGAATTGAATCTATATAACCCATTTGCTGCTGAATAAATTCATCGGCTCTAGAAAATGGTACTCGAACATTTGAACGAATTAATGTGGATGTTCGGTGACAAAGTGTTCTTCTTACATTAAATATTTCTGCTGGGGGAGTTTTTAATCTTTAAAAATTAATTTTTTTTGATAATGATAAGTGTTTGGAAATATTAAGAAATGCTTTTAGTATCTTATACTTATAATTTTGTAAATAATTGGATACTATTAAATTTTTTTTCTAAACCTTTTCTCACATTTTTCAAAATTGGGATTGAAATTATTCCAGGTTCTTTAAAGTACCTGGAATTTCAAGTTTCTATTCAAATTTGTTTCTAATCTTTTCCAATTTTGTTTTTTAATATTTCCCCGTAAATTCCTCCAATTTTAGTGTTAAGCAAATGGGTGCTGGTTAACTTTAACCAACCCCAGTGCTGGTTAAAACAAGTCTTGAGCAACAAGTGTATAGAAGGGATTTACAAAATAAAAAGGTCATTCTTTATCAGAACCTTGGATGGAAATAAGTCAATCCATTATTGTCCACAATAAATGCATATGCTTGAGTTAAATCAAATTCCCCTTCCAAAGATAAAATCTTTCCAATCGTTTCAAAAGCAATATCAATCGCTGCAATTCCCATAAATCCATCCAAATGAATATTTTGTTGTGATGAATTTGTTAAATTAATTTTGGCAAAATCGAGATAATTGTAAATATTTGGTTGATTGCCTAATAAAGGCATTGAAAGAGTTAAGACAGGACCTCCTTTTTGTGCATCCATATATGGGGGTGTCCTGAAAGTGTGGGGGCATTTAAAAGCTTGTCGAGATTCTGTTACATTTAGTTTTCTCTTAGCTAGAGTTAATAATAACAGGGGGAGCGTCTAAATAAATTTACCATTAAAAACACACACCAAGTAATTTGTCGATTTTCGGGGTTCGCTGCTTTGTCCCGATATGCCAATGCCAATATTTCATTTAACTTCTTTAAATGATCTCTTGCTTTCATTCTAACTTCAGCTATAGAACCAATAACTGCTTGGGAAAGTCCAGCATGTGTCCAACAGTTTAACCAAGAAATAGCTGCTTGTGCATCCCTTCCATGCCCAACAGAATGTCCAAAAACTCTTATAGGTTCAGCGGAGGGATGTTCTTTTTGAAGTTTTTGGACTACTTCTGCCGGCCAAAATTCTATTCCATCGGTGAAGAGAAGAACAATACTATGCCCTCCACTTCTTCGAGGAGGAGAAGTATTATTATTGTTGTTGTCTTTGCTTTTAGTTGAACGAAAAAATTCATCAAAAGCCATTTCCAAAGCTGCCGGAAGTGAGGCTTGGTCTCGCTCTTCTACGCGATCCAATAAACGGCGGAATAAAAGCTAGAAATTAAAGATTATTCCCAAAAGTATACTAAATACTTATTCTTACTTTATTTCCACTAGTTGCCTGTACAAAAGAATCAAAAGTTCCAGTACAATTATCCAAAACTCTTTCCCTTCTACTATTATACCAAATACCAGAAAAGAAATCATTTGGTGTTAAAGTTTGTAAAACAGCTCCAACAGACGTTTTAATTAAATGTGCACTCATTCCCTTAGCACTTCCACTTAAATCTAACAGAAAAAGAACATCGCGAGGTGAACTTTCTGATGAAATAAACCAAGGCCTGAAGCGAGGATCGAATAAATCAACGCCAAATTGTTCTGTACCGTAATCCCATTTAAATCCTAAAAAACATTTTGTGTGATTTTTGTTGTTTTTAACTAAAGAATGACTAACATGGAAAAAGATTCCAATTATCAAAGGCTTTCGTTGATTTAAGAATTATAAGTTATAGTTGATCAAACCCCCTACCTTATTTTTGAAATAAAAAACTTGCCAGGGAATATACGTGTTAATCCACTATAAGTCCCAATATATTGCCTCATTATCGAAGAATCTAATTTTATGTTCTCAATCATTTGCCTTTCTAATTGTTGCTGTCCTGTCCAATTTAAATCTCTAACTACTTCCCCACTACATTTGTAAGATTCTATAGCTACCTTTTTTTGAATTTTTATTTTAAAATATTCAAAATTTTTTACATGAACACCAGAACGTTGTTGTAATTCTCCTTTATTTATTCTTTCCCATATTTGTGCATTTTTAACAGAATTTTTATTTAATTGTCTCAGATTACGAGAACATTCTTTGTCTGATAGACTTATTGACAACTCTTCATCAATATTAACTTTTAAAGCTTCTTTCTCCGCTGCCGATGCAAGCCTTTAAAATATTAAGTTTTTTAGAGAACCCTCCTTTTGTCATTATAATGGTAAGCTCATCAAACTTATTTCAAGGAAATTTTTCTATCCTTTATTTACTTACGGTTGGCCTACCCGAAAGAGAGCAGGGTCAATTGGTGCCAGGCATTAAGTACGGTAGTGGAAATGAGGAGGTCTACAACTTTTTCTCTCCATTTTTAACATGTTTTGAATAAAATCAGACCTTTCCCTTACCCTTTGGAATCGAAAGGATATAAGGAGGGGTAATTGATGTTCGTTATAAAAATACTCCATTCTCTTAACCACAATCTTCTCCTCAAAAAAATTAAATTCAAATCTACATATGTATTAGCAACTCTTCTCAAAATTTCTAACCTTCTCAATGCCCCTACTTTTGATGCAAAAAAATTTTCAATTCTTTTTTCTGTTTGTATTACCGCTGCAGGAAAGTCAATATTTGTTTGGTCAAGTAAATTAAAATGCCTTTCTGCACGTTCCTCCAATGCCTTTTTAAAAATTCTTTTTTCTTAAAAATTTCCTTTTAAAAAACCCTTACAGATTTAACCATTCCAATTTGTCCATATTCTTCCAAAACAGCTTTGTGGAAATTAAATTCAAATCTGTCAACAGACTCTTTTAATTTACGCAAAGCTTTTTCAACCCCTTGATGTTGACCGAGAGAATTATAAAGTAAAAGTAATAAACCAAATATTGAGAACATTTTTATTTAAAAAATTTTATTGTCCATCAAGGGAAAAAAAGAATTGACTCAATATTCAATGCCAAAAGAAAATAAAAGAGAAAAAACTGGCAAAAAATTTCCAGTTTTTTACTTGCCAATTTTCGCTTTGTCATTGCCTTTATTCTCCTTATTTTATTGAAAAACAACGTGAGTAGTAGAACGCTGTAAAAAGTCTACATATACATAAGCATTTGGCTACGTTAATATATGGATTTTTCTAGTACTTTTTTCCCAGAAATTTGAAAAGAATAAAACAAAAAAAAAAGAAATATTTTTTAATAATTTACCAAAAAAACATAAGACAAAACAAGAAAAAGAATGTTAGGAAAACAAAAAAACAAATTAGAATTCAGTTTGTCAGTCCTTTCTATTATATATCCTCGTCATCTTCATCCTCATGAAATATTATTTCCCTTTCACCTTCAATTTCATCTTCATCCTCTGAAGAGTTTTCTACTATTGACCCGCCAGCTCGACTTGGTGTTTCGATAAGTTCTTTCCCTGTCTCGTCAACTGGAAAAGGCACAATCTCGATTTTGGGCACAAAATATACTGAAATTTTAAGAATTTAAGAATTATTTATTCGAGTAATTATTTACCTCTTTGAGGCTTCACTTCCCCCTTCTCTTCAATAGACTTGAGCATGCACTTATGACGCCAGAAACCGGCATTGCGCAAAAGGATGGAACGCGCGTCTTCGGCCATATCAGTGATCCTTTTTAATGGAGGGATGTCTCGCACAATCCTTAGAGTGACAGTATTTTGCATGGCAATACTCGTTCGTATGGCCTGTGAAAAAAGGTTGTTTATTCCATTTTAATTTTTTAAAACAACTGCCACCATTTTGGCTTCAGCCATTCTAGTCACCCTCACGCCATTTACGTTAGTTATGATATCGCCTGGATAGAAGTGATTTAATGCCAAACTGCTTGCCTTAACGTCACATACTACAACATTCTCTCTCTAAAACTTTACGTTATATACTTTGACAAAAATGACGAACCTTATCAGCCACTATTAGTCCAAGAGACATGTCCTGTCGCCACCTTGCTTGTAGCAGGATAGCAAAACGATGTGGCTTTCGTCTGATTTTAGTGATTTTGAGAACAAGGAGACGGTAGAAGTTATCCCTGCGAAGGCGGACCTGAAAATTCCTGAGTCCTGTCATGGGAGACTGAGTTGCTTTATTGATGTCTTGTGGCGATTTTATATCCTTAAAAAACTAATTTTAATTAATATTTTTTTAAATTTTTATGGAGACCCACCCGTTTGTTAATTTGCAAAATCTCATCTCCAACAAGCAGAATCCCCACAAAACAGGAAAGGATGTCAATCTCCTTTATTCGTGGTGGTGAGCTCCCATCGAAAAATGTGAGACCAAACTCTTTGTCCTGTGTCTCAACTGTGACATCACGCTCCTCGATGTAATTCTTGCTATCTAAATGAAAAATAATTTTTTTGCTTAAAAAGACGTTCAGAATACTTGTATTCTCTTCCGTCATTGTTTGTTGAAGATGCCAGTCTGTTGTGACAAGAGCAAGTGGTGATCTTAGACTTAAGTGAGAGATTTTTTGTTTCAGGTCTTTTATATTATTTATCAGAGGGGAAGCTTATTGGAGGGAAGGAAAACAGTTTCAGTGATAGTTACTCCCTTCTCTTCATTATCCTTCTCTACAATCAACAGTGCCGCTCGTTCTCCTTTCCAATCTGTGTGCAATGTCAGTCTGTCCCAGGGAAGACGATCAGAATGTCCGCGCAGGTACAATTACAAGTTGTTTAAGGGAAGAGACTTGTACAGACAGGAACAATAGCAGTTTCACCCTTGGGACAGTACATGTTGCTTTTGTCACTCTTGAGGTGGAAAATTTTGCCTTTAGAAAGAATCTTAATTGAATTATCTTTTTTATTCTTTAGTCCATCCATGATGTCTGCGGCTGATTAAAAATTTTGTAAATTTTAAAAGCTCCATTAAACAAAAATTTAGTTTGTTTGTTTATCTAAATATTTATTTTTCTCCTTAATTATAATTTTCTATAACTTATTTTTAATATTTAATATCTCCATGGTAATTTCCTTTATTTATTTTTTTTATTTTTACCTTCACTACAACATTTAAACCTCTCTTCTTTTATTCCAAAAACTTTAAAAAGTTTATTTTTAAAATGTTTGAACCAACATTTGAATTTCCAGTAAAGGTTTGGAAAGAAAAAATTTTTTTAAAATACATCTAAAATTTTAAGACAGGATCTGCTTTTCTTTCAAATAATTTATCTGTGTATAATCATAAAACAAAAGGACAGACTTATGTTGCCTATTTAGGGAAAGATGCGGTTAGTTTTGTTTTTGTTAACTTTAATTTCAAAAAAATTAAAAAGGAAAGAGTCTTTTTTTGGTTTTAAAAGTTTTATAAAAATAATTTTAGATTTTAAAGGATAGGCAAATTTTAATTTAAAATTAAACAAAAAAAGAAGCTGGGCTAATTTAAAAAAATTTTTATTCAAAAATTTCCTTCCTCAAAAAAGGTCCAACTTTTATCTTGGAATGAAAAAATGGAACAAGATTGTTGTGAATTATTGAGTGAAGAAGAAATAGCTAAAAGTGCTGGAGAGGCTGGGGAAAAGCCGATATGTTTAATGCAAATTTATGGTTTAAAAAGAAAATTTTCTATTTAATTTAATAATATTTCAGTTGCTTTACCATCAAACAGAAGTAATATTCCTGTAATTATTATTTTAGCTGGAACTTTTGTTTCGGTTAGAAATTAAATATTTCTTAAAAAATAACCTCTCTCTTAGACATCCATTTTATTATAATTTAACCCTAAAAAATGAGGGGGGGAGGGGGGGGGGAGGTGATTATTTAAGAAAATAAAGTTTATATAATACTGGGAGGACATATATATTTAACGACATTAATTTTATTTAAATTTAATTAAAATATAATATGTAGATATTTGACTTCCAAACAAGAAAATGTTTATTTACAAAACAAACTTCAGATCCTTTATTAACCTGTAAAGATAACAAAAAAACATTAAAATCAACACCTTTTACTAGAGGTTTTTTCTTTTAGAATTTTTAAATAATTTATTTATTTAAAGGAATAAGTTGTGTTGAAAGTATAATACTTGTTGGTAAATTTAAAAAAAAATTAAAATTAATTTTTAAATAAAATTTAAATTAAAAAGGCTGTAATTCTGGAGAAATAATCCAAATAGCTTGTAATAGCGAAAATAATTTTCAAACAAAAAAGAATTTAAAAGAACATAATTCCCCTATAACTGACATTGCTTCTTGTAGTTTTGATTTAATTACGGTTTCTGGTGATGTTGGGGGTAAGTATTGATAAAAATATTTTTTTAATTTACAAAAAATTCAGAGACTGTTATAAATATTTTTAGGTAATTAAATTCAAGGAAATCAAAACTTTATAAAAAATACAAATAAACAAATACTGGAAAGATTATTAAAATATTTAGGGTATTTAGTAAATGGCCATATCAAAATTTAACAATGAGCCAAAAACAAAATTAAGAGATTTCGTGAAAAACTCTATCCAAAAATTAAAATAATCCGAGGTTGCCACAAAATTATTTTAAGTAAATTAAGAGAATTTTCTTTCTTTTTATAAGTAAATTTGTCAAAAAATTTCAATTGAATATTGGAAGAATTTTTAAAATAATTTTTAAATATTTAGGAAATATTCTAGTTTGGACAAAAAACTTAAAATCTGTCAGTAAGAGAATTAGCACAAAGTGAGTCGTTGAAATTTTATTTATTACCTAATTGCTTTTTTTTATGTTTAATCTTGATTAATTTTGAATTCGTAAGAAAAAGAATTTTTTAAAATTTTTAGTCAGCCATTGTCAGTCATAAATATTCTAAGAAAGCAAGTATTTTGTGGGAATTTATTGGGACAGATTTCTGTTTATTCTGCCACAAGTGGGGCTTTATTAGCAGAAGTTAATGCACATTTTAGACAAATAACAGCTTTGGCGGTTGCTACAGAATCTGCTTATATTGTATGTAGTAAATATTTTATATAAGGGAGGAAAGGGAGGTAAATGAGGGAAAACAGATAATTTTAAATAATTTATTTCTAGTTATCAGCAAGTGAAGATACTTATATACGAATTTGGAAATTACATTCACGCAATCCTGATGCTTATAAAGTCTTTAAAAATTAAAACAAATGATTATCTAATTTTTTCATTTTTAGATAGAATTTCGTTATGGACAACGTTTTGATAATATGCCGATTGTTGGGGCTAATTTTGCTAATACTAGAGTAAAAATGAAAGAAGATTCTAAACTTTAATATTATTTTAGGGAAGCGGATATTTGGTTAGCTTCTACGAAAATTTCAAAATTCTGCTTTTTAAAATTACACGCCCAAACAGACCAATTTCAGAAATAGACCAATCAAATAGACCAATCACAATTAATACAGCATTAGAGTAAAATCGAATAAAAAAATATTTTTTGTTAAAAACTTTTTATTTTGTTATTACCATTTACTGAACTATTTACTGATAAAGAATAAAAACACCTAGGTAAAAAAATGAAACTAGAATAAAAACATGAGTGAATAACCCAGGGGTGGGATTCGTATGTACTTAAAATGGAAGTACAGTACTTAAAAATCAAACTCCATACTTATCAATTTGAAAATGTACTATTTGTGAGTACAAATGGACTTTTTGGTTAAAAATTAAATTTAACATTAAAATTTTCAAAATTTTCGCCCGCAGCACAGAAAAAGGAGTATTGTCCAAGAAATACTTACGTACTCTGAAACGTCCATTTTTGCCGTACTCTGAACCGTCTACTCTGAAACGGCCTATCCCGAATCGCCCTGCTCTGAAAAGACCCTACCTTGATTTTGGATCATTGAGTCTCGCCGGTTGAGTCCTGACACAATTCCATATTTTTTCTGGGTTTTCGACCATTACGAATAAATCTAATCCTCCTTTTCCTTGTTTTTTTCATATTGTTCGAATTAAAGTTGAGGAAATTTTTTCAGGTTTTTTGGTTTTCTTCTTTTTTAGAAATGACAAGTTTTGACGAAGTCAGTGAGGCTGATGAAGAATTTTTTGGCAACGAGAATGTTTCAGTGAGTGAAAAAAATGCAGAAAGTGAAGAACAAGAACAGCAAGATCAATTTGACGAGAATTTAGAAGACTTTGATTATAATGAATTGGAAGAATTAAATGATTTGGGGGAAGACTTTGCTGAAGATAAGGCAGAAGCTAGAGCTAAGGTTTGTATTTTTAATTTATTAAATGGTTATTGTCTAAGAGAGTATTTTCATATTACTTAAAAATTTTAAATTTAAGAAAAAAGCAAGGAAAGCAGCTAAACGGTTAAAAAAGGAAGCAAAAAGATTAAGACGTGAAAAGAGGCATAAAATAAAGTTAAATAAAAAGAATGCTTTTGAGGAAACTTTAAATGAAGAGAATATATCTAATGATGATATTGATACCAAAAAAAGGATAAAAACTTCAAAATCAGAAGAAATAAAAAGGCACAAAAGAAAGAAGGCAGAAAAGTTTTTTTATAAAAATTATTTTTTTAAATTAGAATTTTTTATAGAAAAAAGGAAAAACATATTAAACATAAAAAAAGGAAAAGGAAACATTTAACTGAAGAATTGAACGAAGATTTAAGAGAGGAAGAAATGGAGGAAGGAGAAGAAAATGAGAGGATTGAGCCAAAGAAATTGCGTTCTAATTTTGAATCGGAGCCTAGGTTTTTTATTATTATTTATTAAAAATTAACCAGTATGTATTTTTAATAGTTTTGTAGTCTTTCCTTGATATTTACCCGTAAAACTCGAAAAATTTTTTTTTATCAATTTGTAGTGATGAAAGAATGAACTTTCAAAGAACTTTCATCACTACAAATTCCATTTCAGAGCTAGTCATCACAGCGACCATTCGTTATCGCCCCCACATTCACCAAGAACACGTTCTCCAACAAAATCAACTGAAAAAAATAGATCACAAAGTTCACATTCTAGAGCGAGTAGCAGCAGTAGTAAACGATCATCTTCAACTCATTCAAAAGACACTAAACGTTCATATACTAGTTATTTTTTAAAATTATTTTCTAAATATTTTTAATTTTGTTAAGGTGACAGCAGTGATGACGAGAAAAAAGAGAAGGCTCCGAAACTTCGTGATTATGGTCCTGATGTTTCTTCTTGGCGGATGTAAGAATATTTTAATTTTTTATTCCTTTTTAAAATTAAACTATTTTTATCCGTTATTTTCCTTCATTTATACTCATTTTAGATTTTGAATTTTGCTTTTAAATTAAATATTTTACCAAATTATCTATTTTACAATTAATATTTTTTAAGGTATGAAATTGAAAAAGAAAAAGCAGCTCAAGCAGCCAGTTCCTTTCCTTTATCGTCTAGAGGCCGAAATCCAAATTTGGTATCAACATTACGGAAACCATATGTACCTGGAGGTGGACGCAAGGCACTCGCTTATTTTAAAGCTGCAGCTCGTGGGAGAGGTCGTGGTAGAGGAGCCTTCCTTCCTGGGATGCGTGGACGAGGGTAAATAAGGATTTTTAAGTGAATTAATTTTCAACTTTGTTTGTAGACGTGGTCGTGGAAGAGGACGTGGTATTATGCGCTTTTATGGCCCGTTGCGCCCAAAATCTGATTATCTCGATAGTAGTGGAAAAATTGATAGAAAAAAACTTTTGGAAATTGCGACACAAAATGCTACAAAACTTGCGATGGTTTTTATTGTTTTTTTAGTTATACTTGAATTTTATTTTTAGGAAGGAAAGTTACCAAAAGGTGAAGAATTATTGGAGGCAATAAAAACAAAATCAATGGAACAATTAGCAAGTAACTTTTATTTTTATAATAAAATTTTTGTTTTGATAGCTAGAGACCTTCTGAAAATTTACTCGTTATGCATGTTTCAGAGACTTGTCAAATTTTTTGTTGCTAATTTTATAAATTCATTTTCCTTCCCCATCTTTAAATAGTTCTTATAAATTTAAAGCAATATCTAAACAAATGGAGGATGAACAACTTAAAGTTTCTTCAGCCCCTGTTCCATTTGTTCGTTGGATGAGTAGTACTTTTGCTTTAGCTTTGGAACAACAAAATTCTAATTCTTCTACTCCATTACTTCGAGTATATTTATTTTATGTTTAAAATTTAGTTTATTTTTTAGCCAAAGAGAGGTTTTCTTCCATCAGATAATACAGCGCATTTAATGGAAAAAGTGAGTAGTAGTGAAGATGAGGCTGACAAAGAGGAACTTTTTCAAAGTATTAATTTATTAATTATTTTTATATTATGTACATCTTTAAAAAAATAAACCATTATCTCTTGAATTTAGTATTTTCTGAACCCAGCTTAATTTACATTGTTTTGTGACTGACTTCGCAATTAAAAATTTATCTTTTAGGGAGGCATGAAAGTTGGAAACTACGAACAGAAAAAAGGGCAAAAGAACGGGAGGCTGAAGAAGCGGAGGAGGATAACGAAAAGTATATTGGTGTGACTAAAGGTGGACAACCATTTAAACGAAGTGGACCAATGCTTGGTTTCAGGGATATAAAGATTAAAATAACTGTAAGATTTTTTGGTACCGTGTTATAATACCAAAAGCTTGAAATACCATCACTTGAAATACCAAAAGCTTGAAATACCAAAAATTGTAATACCAAAAGCTTATAATACCAAACCCCCAAAAGCTGTTAAAATACCAAACCGTGGAAAAAAGCTTAAAATACCAAACCCCCAAATACTGTTGAAATACCAAAGTGTTGTTCCAATGTTATGGGATGTTGACTCGGTGACGGGGGATGTTGTTCCCGCGACGGAAAAGGTTGTTCCAGCGACGAGGAAGGTTGTTCCCGCGACGGGGGATGTTGTTCCAGCGACGGGGGATGTTGTTCCAGCGACGGGGGATGTTGTTCCAGCGACGGGGGATGTTGTTCCAGCGACGGGGGATGTTGTTCCAGGGACGGGGAAGGTTGTTCCAGCGACGGGGAAGGTTGTTCACGCGACGGGCGATGTTGTTCCAACAGCACATCTGCCATCGTGTGGCAAGGGCGTATCCAGGGGGGGGCTAGAGCCCCCCCCCCCCCCGAAATGGGGGAAAGGGGGAAAAAATTAGGAGAAGGATGGTCGAAAAAGTGAAATTTTTTCGCCTACAACCCTCAAATTTTAAAAAATTTTCGCCTGCGGCGCAAAAAATGGAAGAAATCTGGCTGCTTGAGCTCCAAAATCCTCAAAATTTTCGCCTGCGGCGCTAAAAAGGAAGAAATCTGGCTTCTTGGGCTCCAAATTCCAAAAAATTTTCGCCTGCGGCGCCGAAAAAGTGAAATTTTTTGGCCTACGGCCTTCGAATTTAAAAAAATTTTCGCCTGCGGCGCTGAAAATATAAAAAGTTATGTACAAAAAAATTTGCCGTAGGAACGCCAAGGTAAACGCCAAAAATTTTTGCACCCACCCAGTGTTAGCCCCCCCCCCCCGAAACCGACCCCCTGGATACGCCCTTGTCGTGTGGCGAAGACCATGACCAGCCTAACCTTCGGAGCAGCATAAATACAGTTTTTCCAACAAAGATTCAATTGGAACAACAACATCTTTGTTGTTGCAAAAACAAAAAAATTTTAATGTTCGAAGCACAAAAAAAACAAAAAATTTTAACAGAAATAACAATAAATTTAAGTTTGGTATTTATTTGGTATTTCAAGTCTTTTTCCACGGTTTGGTTTTTTAACAGCTTTTGGGGGTTTGGTATTATAAGCTTTTGGTATTATAACAGGCTCCGGATTTTTTAGTTTGAATTTTCTTTAAATTTTTTATTTAGCCTTCCCAAAGCGGGTTTTCTGCCACAACAATTTCATCAACTTCTACCCTTCCACCACCTCCACCACTGCCTTCTATTCAAAAATTGTTACCTAACATTACGGACATTGGGTCAGGATTTTTTTTATTACTTCTAATATTTATTTGTAGATCAACATTTCCTTCAAGTTCTGAATCATATATGGGTGGTTTTACTTCAAAATCTTCATCAAGCATTTTTTCTGATACTATAACACCACAAAGGTCTAATTTACACATTCCAACTCAAGAATTTCAACAACAACAAATATTGCAAATTACTTCTCTATTTATGGTTAATTAAAAAAAATTCTTTATGATTTTTATTTTAAATATTTCAAGGATAAGCCGTCAACCACTTCTTCGGTCACTTCACTGGCATCTATGTTGGTACCTCCACCACCTATTCCACCTTCATTACCACCTGCGCCTATACCACCATTTTTTCTTGACAAAACGAAAAAGACTTTTGAACAACTTTCTTCTTCCTCTCATTCAGAATCCTTGTCAGATGTCTTTTGCACTCCACTACTGCCTCCCCCACCAGCACCACCTCTTTTAATGCCTAAATAAAACCGCTCATTTTTATTTTTTCACGAGTTTATTTTTTCTGTTTAAAATGGTAAAGATTCTTATTTAATTAAAGTTGACTTTTTTGTTGCAAGTTTCTCATATTTACCTCTTTCTATCTTACAATTAGTTTAAAGATTTTTTGATGTTTCTAGTTTAACATTTATGATGGACGTTGATTCTATGCATTCTGACTTACCAACTGAGGGCCACTTTTCTGTATCTTCAAAAAGACGCAATTTAGATGAAGGTAAGGATAGATGTTTTCGATTTACTATTGTTAAATTTTTAGAAATGGAAGTTGTTGATAATTCGAAAAAGCGACGTTTACCCGCTGGTGGTGATATTGGGCCGAAATTAGTTAATATGATTAAAAGACTTGATCAAGATTTGAATGGTGGTACTGTGGAAACTGCTCTTGAAGATTTAGCTTCAGTTTTGGAGTCTAATTTAGATCCTTATGAAGGACAAATAATTCATATACTTTATGAATGGTTAGTTTTATTTTAATTTTTAATAAATTTTGTTTTGTAGTGCTGCTTATTTACCTGAAAAAATAACTGTCTTCTCAACTCTTGTTGGTTTATTAAATGCTCGTTCTGAAGCGTTTGGAAAAGCGGTAACTTTTTTGTTATATTTTAGGATATTAATCCATACAACAAAGAGTATAAGTATAAATCGAGGTTTTTAATTAGAAATCTTTAAGAAGACTTTCGTAAATAACAATTAGACTATTTTAATATTTTAATTTAAATACACCCAAATTCTTAATATTTTTTACAGTTAATATCAAAATTTTTGAAAGAGTTGCACAATTTATTTGTCAAAGAAGAATATGAAATTTTCATTCGTCTCGTATGAATTTTAAAATATTTTTTAATATTTTAATTTAAAATCTAGGTTGCCTTTTTATGTGATCTTGGCAATTCCCGTGTTCTTACGCTAAGTTCAATTCTTGATTTCCTTGAGGATTTTATTGACAATGCTGTAGAAGAAAGTGTGAGAAAAATTTTTTAAATAAAAATATGTTTTTATAATTCAAAACATTTCTTTTAGATTAAATCTGACTTTTTCGTTTATTCTGTTTTACATTCTCTTCCTTGGATTGGTACTGCACTTAATGAAGATTCTCCAGAACGTTTTGATTTACTTCTTAAAAGGATTGATCTTTATATTGGGAAGAGAAAGAAACTGCACACTTCGGTTTCATTTGCTTTTGTTATACTAAAATTTTTTATTTTTTAATCTTTAGATGCTGCAAGTGTGGTCGGATCAAAAAGTTTTACAAACCGATTATCTGGACAGCCTTTGGATGCAAATACAGAAGTTTAGTGCTTCCAATTGGCTTGAGAAGCATATTCTTCGAATCTATGTCTCGTTTAATAATTCTTTAAAAGATGCAATCCAACATGATCTTCCTTGGTTTGTTTCTATAAATTACTTGACTACCATTAACTCATTTTCTTTTTTAAGTATGGACAATTCAATTATTACTGCTGGAAAGAATTATCCACTTCCTCGTGTTGTCTTTCGACTTTTTAGTGTCTCAGAACTTCCTGAAGACGTTAATTTTTTCTTTTACAATGCATTTCTATTTAATTTTTAGGAACCTCCATTATCATCAGACGATTCGATTGAACGTTTTTTGGTTGAGGAAGACTTAAATTGGATTATTGATAATAATTATACTGATAGAAAGTCTTGTGCAGATGCTCTTTTGGGTTATTATCGAAAAGACGCCATTCCATTAAATTATATGATCACTGAAGTTATTTTTAGTCAACTTTTTCGTTTGCCTAAATCGCCTCATTGTGTATAATTTTTTTTGAAAATCTTTTAAAATAATTTTAAATTTTATAGGAAATTTTTTATGGTTCTCTTTTAATTGAACTTTGCCGTAGTCAATCCAATTCAATGCCTCAGGTTTTAGCAATGGCCGCGGAACTTTTATTTCAAAGAGTCGATTCAATGCAGATTACCTGCATTGACAGGTTTGATTTTTCTTTAATTGTTCGATTTATTCAGAACGAATTTTGATTTAAAATTGCTTATTAACCCGGCAGCTTGTTTAAGACTCTTATTGAAAGTAATTTTGGCGGGAAGTGACTAGTTTTTGATTTAAAACAATTGTTTCTTTTGACAGTCTTTTCTATTCACAATCAGCTTCTAATTACTACCTTCAATTACTTTTTTATTTAGATTTGTCGATTGGTTCAGTTTTCACCTTTCCAACTTTGAATATCGATGGTCTTGGAGTGATTGGGTAGAATGTATCGAGGTTTAATCTTAATTGGTTTTTCTCATAAATTCCGTAAAATTTTCAAGTTTGATTCTCTTCATCCTAAGCGAATTTTTGTTAGAGAAGTTATTGATAGATGCTTGAGATTATCTTATCACAAAAAGCTTGTTGAACTGCTTCCTGGTGAATTTAGTCCAGTTATACCTGATGAGCCTGTAATTACCTATGTTTTAGATGATGGTTATTTTCAGTCTTTTATTTAATTTTCTTATTTATTTTCTATTTTAGAAAACCATCCAGCATTTTCAAAGGCTGAACAGTTCAAAGAACTTATAGCACAAAGAGCGAAAGATGATGAGATACTTGCTTTATTGATAGAAAACAATGCAAACGAAGACGAACAAATGGAAGACAAAAATGTTTATGCTGAAGATTCTTTTGCCGTGTTTTTTGCGGTTTTGCTCAAATTAGCATCGAAAACTTTAACGCATTCGTTTGCCGCGCTTACTAGGTAATTTCATTAATTTATAAATCTAATTTATTTTTAATTTCTATTTAAAGATATCATACAACACTTACAACGCTAACAATTAACAATGAAGCAATGCAATCGATTATTTTGCGAACACTTTATGATTCTTGGAGTTTAAATAAACAGGTCTCTAATTTTACAAATAAGTTTTTTATACATATTTTATTTTAGATGATGACCGTTCTCGTTGATAAAATGATCAAAATGAACATTTTAGAACCAGCAATTGTACAGGCTTGGGTTTTTTCTGAGGAGATGAAGATTGAATTTAAAAGGTGGCTATTGAATGTTTAACAATTAGTAAAGAAAATTAAATTTATTTCTAAGCTAGTTTTATCTCGTTAAAATAATTTTAGAACTTGGGTCTGGGACGTGCTCACCGCTGCAATTATTCATTTGGATAGGCGTCGAAATAAACTTTCACGTGATTTAAATTATTCTTGCGGCTATTTGAAACGTCTTGAAGCACGTAATAGTGAACGTGAACAACAAAAACGGAATGGGAATTTAGCGGAAGGTGGGAATAATGAAAAGGAAGAGGGAGAAACTACTATTGAAGAAAATACTAATGGAGTGGAAGACGGAAGAGCTAAAGAAGTGTCGACTGAATTAAATTCGGGTGATGATGCTATGGATTCGACTAATATTAATAATGAACAAAACAAAAAGCGAAGAGAGGAAGGAGTGGATCTTTTGGATCTGGATGAACTTGTAATTTTTATATTATTGATTTTATTTTAGAAGATAGATCTTAGATAGATTTTTTATTTTTATCGTAAAATTAAGATTTACATGATTTAACTCAAAATAATTGTTGTTCTTTCAGATATTTCAAGCAAAAGACAAAATTGATTTAATTAAAAATGACATTGAACAAGTAGATGAGGTTCTTCGAAGTGTTTTTCTTAATATTTGTCACGTTTGTTAGCCTTTTAAAAATAATTAAAAAATTCTATTTTTTCAGAAGTTTACACTTATTCTAACAGAACATTTATTGAATTGCGAAACAGATGGTACTAATGTTGAGACAAATTTTTATAATTATGTGTCTGGACGATTCAAATATATATTTTTGAAGGTAAGTGAAATATGAAATTTATATTTTAAATTTTTTAGCATGATGCAAATATGTGGAAATTTTCAAACGATTTGGAACAAGAATTATTTTCTTCGCCAACAATTGGCCCAAGGATTCGTCAAATTTTCGAACAATTTGTTGCTTTGCGCCGATGATTTTGGTTTGGGCTTGATTAAATATTTTATCTGTTACGCATCTCAATTCATCTTTATTTTGAGTTAACCTTTTCTTTTTTTGTTTTAAGAAATATTTATGTAAATTTATATATTTTATTTGTTTGAATGTTAAATTTGCCGAAATTTTTTTTAATTTTTGGTTAATTGCCAAATTTATTTTAATAATATTTTTCAAATCTATACTAGTTTTACGATTTTTTTAATTAATCTTTTCTATTGTATACATGCCAAACAACATAATAACTGTACAGGTTTGGTAGCTGTTTAATTAGCTTTTCCAAATTATTTTTATCTTTAGGTTGGTCAATGTGGAAATCAATTAGGGATGGCGTTCTGGGAACGGTTATGCGCTGAGCATGGAATTTCTCCGTTAGGACATATTGTAAAAGAGGATAGAAAAGGCGAAGATTGTAAAGATGTTTTCTTTAATGAGGTTTTTACGTTTTAGAAATCGTGGAAAATATTTAATAATTTCAGGCGAATTGTGGAGCGAAGTGGGTACCACGTGCAGTTCTTGTTGATTTAGAACCGCGGGTTTTGGGCGAAATCTGCAACTGCGAATTAAATCAATATTCTGATCTATTTGATGTTGATAATGTTTATCAAGGTCCAACTGGTGGTGGCGCTGGAAATAATTGGGCAAAAGGTTTTAATCAAGGAGCTGAGGTCGTTGAAAGCATTTTGCAAATAATTGAAACCGAGGCAGAAAAGGCAGATAATCTTGAAGGCTTTGCAATGTGCCATTCTATACTTGGAGGTTTTTTAATAAATATTTTCCCGGCGTTTTTAAGAGTTTCTAATTTTGTTATTTAAAAAATTAATTAAGGCACTGGATCTGGACTTGGCTCAAGAATACTTCAGGAGCTTCGTGATAGGTTCGGACATTATAAAAATTTTATTCAATAAATGCGTTTAGATATGGGAAGAATCTAATCCAAACTTATTCGACTGTACAGCTTTTAACTTGTAATGTTCAAGGTAATTGTTTTCTATGTTTTGTGTATTTTTCATATCGAATTTTCAAAGAAATGAGAGTTAAGAATAAAGGGCTAATTTTTGAAAATTTCTTGGTATTTTCCCTGCCAATAACAGTTTTCTTCACGTCTGTCTAACTTTTTTTAGTTGCTCCATACAATATTGTACTTTCTCTCGACTCAATAATGGATCATTCTGATATGTGCCTTTTGTTTGATAATGATGCTTTCGAACGTCATTGTAAATCAGTTAATCCAATGCATCGTTTAAGAAGAGATGGAACTAATGAAAATTTAGCTACTTTAGCCATTTCAGAGAAGAAAAATTATGCACAAATTAATTCGATGATGAGTCAAGTAATGGCTGGATTGACTGCTCCAATGAGATTTTATCAACCTACTTTTTCTCGTTTGATGCATATTTCTGAAATGATTTGTCCTCTTCCACCGATGGTTTTTTCACAGCCAGGTTTGAAAATTGATAGTTTTTACAAAATAAATTTATCTTCCATTCAGCACTCGTTCCATATGTTCCTGTTCGGGAAGATACACAAAGACCTCAACTTGTTAAATTTCCAGAGCCAAAAAGCATTCTCAACCATTTATTAGATCCTCGTATCTTTATTTTTTTTAATATACCAAAAATTTCTTCATTTCAGGCCAATTAATAAGCTCCAGTCAACAACTTTTAAAAGAGCAAAAGACGTCTGTATTAAAACGTTCAGCTTCAGTTCACACAGATGTTACTGCTTCAACACCTAATGAAAACCGCCCAATCGCAGAAGAGGATGATTTGCACAATTTATTGGCTGGATTAATTATTTTACAGAGTAATACAGATCCAATAATGAGTTTTGCTGGGCCTGCAGCGGCTGGTGGTATGGGAATTGGTTCATTGTATGATCATGTTAAAATGAGAAATATGACACAAAAGAACGTTTATAGGTGAGTTTGATGTTTAAATAATTTCTTTTTTTTATATTTAAAGCTTTCCAATATATTCAATCTTGCATTAGCTTATATAAAATATTAATAATATCTCAACGCAACTTTTTTTAGATCACCTAGTTGGATGCCTGGAACATTAAACATGACAACCTGTCGTATATCTCCCTACATGAACCACAGTCAAAATCCAGTAACTGGTCTTTTACTAGCTAACCATACTTCGATAGCTATTTGTCTTCGCTCTATTGCAACAGATTTTCAAAAAATGTGGCACAAAAAAGCTAATGGTTGCTTGTTTATTTTATTAAATTTTTATTTATTCTTTTTTTTTGTAGTACATAAATTCGAAGAAGCAATGGAACAAGGTGGAAATAAACAATCTGGGAAAGATTGTTTGGAAGAAAAAATGGAAGAAAGCAAAGAGAGATTAAATGAATTGCTTCAACTTTATAGAAGTTCTCGTTCTTCAAAGTTTGTTTTTTTAACTACATAACACTTTATATGGAGAACATTCCATTTTCTTTTATTTTTAGTTTCATCGAATATGATTTTCAAGAACAACAACTTTTACTTGACGAAAATAGTAGTGAATATGCAACTTATGGTACGCCAAAATAATTATTTTTCTCTCAACATGTTTTATTTAAAATTAAGACTTTAACTGTTATTTTTGACAAAAACATTCCTCTCTCTTTCATTAAAATTTAAAATATCCTTTCTGCCTTTAGTTATTAAGGTGGGTTCACCTTGAATATTGCCACAATTATAAATGGATCTCTCCCAAACATTCATTTCTGACTTACATTATTTTTGTAATTGAATTGATTTATTTTTTAAATAAAAATTTTGATATGATAAAGATATTGATAATATTTTTCACTAATTTGCACGCAGAAACTACGCCTCTTACCCCTTGCACTGCGGCTTTTTGGCAAAAATCAAAAAAAAATTCTTTATTTAACTCGAAAAATAACTTAACAATAGCCAATTAAACTAAAAACAAAAAGAGGCTAATAAAAATTTTAACAATCAAAATAATATTCTTTTCATAAACTTTATTTCTTCTCCTTTTGACGTAACATAAGCACACAATTATTAAAAAGCAAAGTTGCCAACTCAATATTCTTCTCTAGCGAATCACAACCCAAAGACTGAACAGTTTTCCATTTCGGATAAGAATTACATAAAGTTGTGTATCCTTTCTCCAACTTTAAAAAAATAAATTTTATTGAGGGGCCTTTATAATTAAAACAGTTTGGCTGGGACTCCACCCTCCCGAACTCCCTAATTTACTCACTCATCCCTTCATCTTCTATAAGAATGAGTGGTCATAAAAGTGAGAAAACAAACTAAAATTAGAGTAAAGAGCAGATTTGTCCTAACCCATCAAAATCTTACAAATTAAAAAAACCTCTTTAGAAAAATCAAAAGTCTGCTCTTCCTTGTTTTCATCATAACGCCGAGAATTGTTCATACGATGCACAATACAAGCAGTACCTTCATCTTCATAAATTAACCTAAAAAATTTAAAATAAGGATTTAAACAAAATTTAATTGAATTCACCTTTGTCCATGCATTCGAACAAAACGAACTTCAGTTTCTGGTCCAATAAGTGGATGTTTCTCTTTTTCAAGAAACTTGTCACAACCACCTCCTCCAATACACGTTTGTTTAAGCTCTTCAGAGCTTAACAATGGTGGAAGTGCAGTTTTCATGAAATCTTTAACCATCAAATCGATAAATGCTGGAATATAAGTCGAAAAGTCAGAAGCGAATTTTTGAGAAAATATTTTGGCATATGGAATAACTCTTGAAATATTTAATAATTAAGAGGCTAAAAATGTTTAAAAAACTTATTATTCAATGAGTCTTCATTAGGATATGCAATATCAGCCATACCACCCATATCAAAAAAGTGCGGAGGAAGTGCGCCTCTCAAACGTTTTGATTTCTCCGTCATTAATAAAATAAATTCGCTTGATGCTTGTTCAAAGAATTGGGCATAAGAGAATTTACGGCAAATACTAATAGTGACATGATGAGAATGTTTGTCTGGACCAGTATTGGCCTTTAAAACAAAAGAAATTAATTGGCAACAAAAAATACGAACCTGATGAATAAATCCACGTGGCACATAAAGAACATCCCCTTGATCCAACCATCCATCAAAAACTGGTTCACGTTCCATAAAATCAGATTCATTTAAATTATCACTTGATTCGAGAGGCAAAGTATCATCCAAACTTTCCGGTGCAAAAATTTTCCAATGTTTACGGCCTTCAGTTTGCAAAATAAAAGCATCAATATTGTCATAATGTGGAGCAAACCCAGCAGTTCCAGCAGGAGTTAAATAACTTTAAAAATGAATAAAAACAGAAAAATTGCTAAAAAAAACTTGTTAGCTCCAACATAAGAACAAAAAACTTCTTGAAGAGCATCACAGATATACCAAATTTTGTCATTAAAAACTTGAGGATGAACACATTGAAGTGAACGTCCATTTTGAAAATGTTGCAGAGCACTCGTGATTGTAGCGCGTTGCATCTCATTCTTTAATGGATTATGGGTTTGTCTAACCCCAGAAACATAACTGACAACATTAACATCTTTTCCATAGAGAATATTATTCTTAAAATGAAAAGTAAAGGAGAACATTTTAAATAATCTCTCACATTCTTAAGCATATCCTTAAAATCCTCAGTATTAAAAAATCCATCAAAATAAGCATTTGTAGCGCGTTTCAAAACAAGAACACGTTTTTGAAAGATGTCACTTTAAATAATAAAATATAAAATAATTAGAGGTGAAAATTAAAAACTTGAAAAATGTATCAGTAACAATTGGGCTTAAAATCCATTGCAAAACTTTCAATCCAACTTGAACAGAATGTTCAGTATCCGCAGAAAATTTAAACAATTTAAATGGGTTTGCAGCTGTAGAATAATCCTTCTGCGCATTGAGAACAATACAATTTGAAGTGTTTGTAGAAATATTATAGCCAGTAATGTTCAAGTCGACCAATTCTTAATTAAAAATATTTAAATTAAAAAAAAATTTCCGAAAAATTTAACAATCCCAAAATAGTGTAAACAAAACAACCTCTAGAAGTGTCAGGATCACTGTCCTTTTCATCTTCCTCTTCATCAAAAATCGAAAAATCGTCCTCCTCATCCATCAAAGAATCATCCTCACCATCTTCAAGACCCAAAAACTCGCTATCATCTTCGTCTTCAAGATCTTCCAAATCAGATTCATCCTCCATGTCCGAGTCTTTAATACTGCCATTCTCGTCAAAAACAACATTCGATTTGACTTAAATTGATTGAAATTTAAAGTTTCAAAAAAAGTTTCACAACCTAAACTTTTCGGTTTAGTGTCCTTTTTCCCTCCAATATCACCTTTGACATTTCCATCTTTTTTGATATTTGTATCCTTTTTAGCACTGCCATTTAATTCATTGTCTTTACTAAAAGAGTTGGTTGAAGTCTCAAGTTTGACCCGCTTTGTAGGAGGAGTTTCACGAGGACTACCTGAAAAGAATGGCAAAAATGTTTTATATTAATCAGGCAAAATAAAAATGTTTGCAAGCATCAGAATAACACCCGGGTAAACGGCATTAAAACTAAAAACAAAGACATACCAAAACGCTTTGCCTTAGCATCGCTTTTAATAACCAAATCATTTTTAACATCCCCATTCCTTTCATTGTCATTATGAGAAGAATCAGTTCCAATTTTGACTTTCTTTTTGCCGGATGCTTCTTTGGGACTTTCTAAAAAATAAAGTAAAGTAGAACATTTAACAAAACCTTTCCTAATAGATGAAATACTCGTATTTGGAGTAGTCTTCTGTCCAAAGTTTTTGTTAGGTTGCTGAAAAAGTTATGGAATATTTAAATAATCAAACATTAACAACAACCGAAAAGTCATCATTTTTCATTTTATTTTCCTTAGGGTGTTTCTGTTGCTTTTGAAAGTTTGGAACCTCAACATTCTCATTCTTACCATTAATAATATCCTTCTTCACTGAAACTTCAAGAATTCTCACTGAAAAACGTAAAAACAAACCTCCAGACTTTTCATTCATCAGACGCTTTTCAAATTTATCTCCCCCATCAAAGGCTTTCTTTTTATTAAAACCCCCTCCTTTATTACCGCCATTAACAGCGCCTTTATCCTTTTTCATTCCTTGATTGTTATGCATTGGCTTGTCTTGTTTAAATTTTTTATTAAACGGCCCAGAACCAAATCTATTTCCTCCTGGCGAATTTTGTTTATTTTTCTTGTTCTTATTTTTTCCCATTTTTAATTAAATAGAGAAAGAAATCTGTAAAATTTAATTGAAAAAATGATAACCTTTCAATTAAATGGATAATATAAAAATTACATAGTGCTTAATAGAGGCGCCGCAGATAGGGGCTTAAAATAAACCGAGTATGTCGAGTAACAAGTTTTCGAGATCGAGTAATCCTAGCAGGTATTGATCGAACAATCAGACTACCCTAAAAATGTTTTGATACAATATAGAACCTCGGGACTGAAATGGCTGAACTGAAACGTCCTTGTACGCTTTTAAATTTGGATGTTTGAGGACGAATTTATTTACCCTCGATTGTGTATACTGTATTCATGACATCAATCGAGAAAATGTAAGTTAAAGTACAAAAAGTTTAATTTATAAGTACACAGTGGAAAATTTTTTCAAATATACATAAGTTACTACAAAAATACAATTAAAAATTGGTACTTCTTGTTATCTTCCTCCATTTTCCTTTTATTGTGCGTCTTTAATTTTCTTTTTTAAAGAAATTAAGGGGGTTCTTATCGCCATAGATTTCCTCGACCATCTTATATTTCTCTCCCAAATTTTTTCCTATAATTTCTTTTTCCACTCTAAGCTTGGAGAAAAAATATTTTAAAGAACACTTGGGACATTCTAAATTCTCAAAGTTGGTGACTAATAAAAATTTTAAAAATTTACAATAAATTCTAAATCATTTTTAGTATATTTTGTAATATTTTTTTGATTCAAGTTTTTTTTATTAATTCCCTCCCTCCCCTCCCCGCCCCCCCCCCCCTCCCTTCTTCTTTCTTTAAAATAAAAAAATAAAATGCTGTGTTGACAATCGTATCCCCTCAAAATCTCTATTCCTTAAAATCTCTACTGGGCTAAAATGCCTTATAATCTCTACACAGCTAAAATGCATTAAAATCTCTACTCGGCTAAAAATGATTAAAATAACTATTCCTTAAAATCTCTATTCCTCATAATCTCTACAAGGATAAAATGCCTTAAAATCTCTACACGGCCAAAAATAGGATAAAATGTCTATTTTTTCATTCGGAAGCCTTTTGAGTGCCAACGTTCAGTGCGGAAACGTTGTTCTGATTTCTGGCTTATCTTTTGATATTATTTTGCTTGTATTGTTTTTGCCGCTGCGGATGAACCCAGGCATGTCCAGCGGAACGACAGCAGCCGCTTCGATACGATCACCGCAAGCAAAATGAACACGACCGCAGCGAAGCAGTCGTGTATTATATCTTCGATATTTACAGCGGATACAAGCAGATATCCGCAGCCATTTTTAAATCAATTGTATCCGTATCCATTACCAAGTCTGGGTTTTCCAATGAATAGTTCATATTTTACACTTTTGTTGAGACTCTACCGTCCATTTGCACGGTGTAGAGATTTTAATTATTTTTACCCCAGTAGAGATTTTAAGGAATAGTTATTTTAAGGAATAGAGATTTTAAGCATTTTTACCCTAGTAGAGATTTTAAGGAATAGCGATTTTAAGGAATAGAGATTTTGTATGGGAGCCGTTGACAATTGACACCTTTATTTATTTGTAAAGTAATTCATCTTTTTGGCCGCGACAAAATAACTGATAGGTCAAAAGCACGGGGTAGCACTAAAAGTTTTAAAACAATTTAGACAAAAACCACGACAGTTTTTGTTACTGGTTGAGGGGTTTTTGAAAGAAAAAGATTTTTTAAGTTTTGAGTAATTGAAAATATTTTTTTAGGAATTTAAAATGGTGGAATGTTTAAATTTAATTGGGAGACTTTAAAGGCATGTGAAATTCATTTTCTTATCTTTAACTTTTAATTTGACCAAAAAATGTTAGTTCATTAAAGAATTAGCACCTCCCCCCCTAATTTGTAATTTTTTAAAAATAATATGAAATTCATCTGCTTTCTCTTATCTTCAATCACAATTTTTTGTCGAAATAATTTTTCATTTTTGGAACAGAATTTTGTTTGACTTTTTTAAATGCTCTTAAATTTAAAGAATTTTAAATATTTTTTTTATTTTAGAATTATTTAAAGCCAACTTACCTAATTCTTTTTAAATTTAAATGATGTCACTTCTAAATACATAAATTAATTTTTAAATTTTTTTTTTCTCCTATTTATAACAAAACAAAACAAAACAAATAATTCTTTATTTATTTATTCATCATCAGCTTATATTTTAATTGTTTTTCTTTCTTTTTAAATTAAAACTTGTGACTAATTTTTTTCTCATTTGTTCATTTAAATTATTTTCTCACAATTCTCTTCTTTATCTGGCTTCTTCATTTTTCTTTAAAAATTTTAAAATATTTTTTTTTGGATTTAAATTTCTTTTATTTTTTAATTTGCATATTTTCTTAATCTTTTAATTTTTAAAAGAAAAACAAAAGACACACAAAAACATTAATTTCTTGTCATTTTAGAATAGTTAAATATTTAGGTCTTCTGGCGAAATAAACAAATAATAAATCATTTTTATTATTTAAATATTTTCTTGGGGGGATATTTAATTTATTTAGAATTTTGAATTTATTTATTTAGATATTGAAAATAATTTTTAGAGAGGGAAATTTGTTAAAACAAATTTTTAGAAAGAGAAATTTGTCAAAACAAAAAATTACTTGATCAAAATACTTTTTAAAACAACTTTTTCTCCCTTACATCTCCCTTACAAACCAATTTTCAAACAATCCGAAAAATTACTTTTTAAATTTTTTAAAAACTTTCTTTTAATCATTTTTATTTAATCTTTGACCATTTCTCTTCTTTTTTTATTAAAAAAAGATTTAATTTTATTTTCCCTTTTCCCAATTAAAACCACGAAAGAATTAAAACTACTTGAAGTGGTTGAATGCACGAATGAGCAACTACATAAAATATAGGGAAAGGAAGGGGGAAGTTTCAAGCATTTAGATGACCTGTGAATACTGTGTTATTGAAAGAGAATAAATACAGAAGAAGGGAGAGGGGGGGAGTAGTTGAAGAATGATTATAATTCGGATCTCAAAAGTAAATGACCCGGAAAATATTCTATATTTAATTAGCTGAAGTTTGTTAGAATTCGTTAATGATTTTGGAAGCAACTAAAAAAGATAAAAAAATTTTATTACCAAAAGCTCTTTTTTGTAAAATCTCGATTTATCTTTTTCAATTCCTTCTACCTACATATACTAACTTTTACTATCTAATAGTTAAATATTCCTCTCTTCCTATAATTTTATTTAAATTTTTAAATATCCCCTACAAAACCCCCCTTCATTTTCCTCTTTTTAAATTTACACATTTTCTGCAACTTTACTTTTCTATTTTTCAAAATCTTTCCCTTCCCCTTCCCCATTTTTCGATTTAGTATGCAAAAGACTTGCAAAAATGACAGATTCCTCCCACTCTTTTTTCCTCAAATCCCCGCATTTCCGCTTTCCTTCCATTGATTCATCACTCGAATTGTTGTCGCGACCTTTTTTTCCTTTTTTTTGGTGGATGGACTTTCCACTTGAGAATAAATAAATATATTTTTAGACACACTTTAAAGTAAATTATGCACTAAAGAAGCACCCAATAATAAGAGCCTTTGACCATGAAAATGAGAAGATTTTGGGTGCTACAGGTTATAAGGGAATTGAAATTTATTATCCTTCTGATAATATCTTTCCAAGAATTACCAATTACCCACATTAATATTTTAATGTTTCTTCCATTTTTCAATTTATTTTAAACCAGGAAATAATTTTTAAATTTTTATTTCCATTAAATTAAAACCTTCAAAAAGCTTTCTTTGGATTAAAAAATAAATAAAAAAAAGAACTTCAAAAATAGAAAAGTCGTTAAAAAATTCTTTCTTCAATTACTTTCTTTCCAACTTTCCAACCTCATTTAAAACTTCCAACAGCGCCAGAAATTCGCTTTAATCCATTATTTATTCCAACAATTATATATACTCATTGTTTGTATATTTTACGAAAATAGAAATATTTGAAGGAGGAAAGGAAGGATTGTTTGGAGGGGGAGGGGGGATATTTGGAAGGATATATATTCTCTCTTTTTAATTACCTTTAATTTTTATTTTATGTTCCGTCACTTTTCCTCATCTTTTTTTTCTAAATTTTCTTATCTTTTCCCTTTATTGGCCCAATTTTCTTGTAAAAGGAAAGGAAAAATTAATATTTTTGGATTAAAAACGAGAATAGAGGGGAGGTAATAATCTGTTGTAAATATTTTGTAGAAAAAAACTAGTTTTATAAATAGAATAAATAAGTAGATACACTCGACTTTAATATTTTTTTTATTTTCCTGTCTGGGGTAGAAAGGGATTTATGTATGTTGCAGAGGATGTTTGGACACGCTTTTATTTAATACATATAATTATTCAGGAACTAATTTGTGAATTATTTAATTTTTGTTTTAAATATAATTTCCTAATTAATTACTTAACTAAAATCTAAAATTTTTTGAAATTATTCTTCTATATAATTTTTTATTTTTATTTATTTTAAAAGAGTCAGTATCATCTACATATTTATGTATGTATGTAACATTTATTTTTAACATTCTTTTCTTTGTTTTATTTATTTTTGCTTTGTTTTTACCTTTACTTTTGTTCTATTATTCGTTTTCTCTCTTTATTTACTTCCAGTTCCGTTTTTTGCCCAAAATTTTGTTTGATTTTTCTTTTTATTTTTAGTACTTAAAATTTGCAAAAGCTTGTCAGTCTTTAAATCATTTTTGATGTTTCAACTCAATTTGTTTGGCAGTTTGGGGTTTTAAAATGATGAACAGATGAATTTTCTGTTCATTTTATTTTCATTTCTTTCAATTTTTTCATGATCTCTTTTATTTATTTTTGTTTTCCTTTTTAATCGAAATTGTTAGTACCGACTATAAATATATTTAAATCTTAACTTCCTCAATTTTATGTCAACTTTTTAAAATTTATTTGGCCACTGGGTGGGGAAGCTACCTAAGCGAATCCACAATAATTAATACACTTCCATGTACAATTTTTCA